AAAGAGATAAGAATAAAATGATGTGATTGTCATTATCACTTAGTACTGATTGTGAAATCTTCCATGACCACGTTTTGGTTTTTGTGGGTTTGGTTGGTTTCATTAGGAAAGTACTGAGCCAAGGATCGTTTCAGAAAATATGACCCCTCTCCTCATTTTTTTCATTGGTTTGGCAAATGACAGCGATGTAAGATCAACCACAAGTAACTTTTTTGTGTTATGATTGTGTCATGCAAGTAACTCTCATAATTCAAGGTGATTAATGGTCCAGAAAATCATTATATAAGTCGAGAGAGATTTCTCACTCTGATTTTGTCATTTTTAATAATTGTTTCGCAAAAACAATTTTTAGTCTTTGAAGTTTGAATTATATAATTTTTACAATTTGATCTTTTAGATTTTATTATATAAAAAGGAAAATCAAGGGCCTTTCTACATGAGAGTTTTTTTCTGTTTCTTAAAATTAGTTGTCGGAAAGATTTTTATGTTACTTTCATAACAGTAGAAACTTGAGGTAAGAAAAAAGAGTTCTTTTACTAAGCAAAAGATCAAAAAGCCCATAAAGAAGCATTGATGTGCATAAACCAAACAAGGTGAAATAGTTAAATATGTGTAAATAATTGTTGGCTGAGTAAACAAAAACTCCAAAATGCTCTTCCATTTTAACCCTTCCATAGCTTCAACACTCTATCTTTACCACCAGAAACTACTTTCTCACCATCTGGACTCCAATCCACCGCGAAAACCTATATACAAAACAAGAACAGAAAAGGCGAAAAAGTTAAGAGAAAGAAAGATTCAAATTCCAGTAAAATCTTTAGTTTTAAAGGTGTTAATACCTCATCTGCATGACCAGGAAGATCTTGTTTTAACTTTTTAGTCCTAATTTCCCATATCTGTGGAAGTAACAAGCTTTCTGATTCAGAAACTGAGGAATATTTACAGTAAAGAGTGGAATGGCATTTCACCCGAGTCCTGTTATAAATTATATATAACTAAAGTTTTTACCTTGAGAGTAGAGTCTTTACTGCCACTCAAAAGCAATCTACTGTCTGCGGACCAACTGACCTGATACACAGGTCCAACATGGCCCCGGAAAGTTGTAACGAATTGTCCTGTGATACCATTCCATAGCCTAACTGATTTATCGAACGATGCACTTGCAATCCATTTCCCATCAGGTGAGAAATAGACATGATTTACAAGCTGTTGATTTGAACATAAAAATCAGAAACAGGACCAAAAGCCTAGGCGAAAAGAGTGAATTTTTCAAGTAACTTACCTGTTGATGACCGGTCAAGCGCTTTTTAGGTTGTTTGCTAACAGATGGTTCCCAAAGGAACATAGTAAAATCATCAGAACCTGACACTAATCTTTCTGGGGAATCCCCTTTGGTTTTGTTGTATCTTTCGAGCGCCTATAATAAACAGAAGCCAGCAAAATTTTTTCCAAAGGGAGAGATGAGAATCAGGGTTTAAGAACAAAACTGATCCTAAGTGTGGAGTGGAGTGAGAAGCTTACCTTTTGCTTTTCTTCATTTGGAGGATATTGTCTTCCAGTGTGGTCAAAAGCTCCTGTTCGAAGAACATATTCTGTGCTCAATGCAAGGGAGTTAATCCAATGCCCATGCCCCTGAGATAACAGTGAAAATTAAGGTGGGTAAAAAGGATACTTGGTGAATCTGAACAAGCTACAGAACAAACATTCAGAACTTGAAACACATAAAGCCATCTATCAGAATACAATCGGGATAGAACTGCATCAGTAACTGATTATAAGGTCTTTCGAGATACAAGAAGGATGAGGAACGCGTCTGATACTAATGTAGAGGAAAATTGATCAAAACAATTCCAAAACATGGCTAAAAGTTTACCTTCAATTCTCGAATGAGCTTCCCCTGAGTAGTCTCCCACATCTTTATCGTACAATCTTGGGAACTGCCAAACACAAGACATATTTGAATAGAATGCAAGAGAAGAACATAGAATTATATACCTAAGAAGTGATCATGGAGCTTAAACATGGAGGCAAGTACTGAGTGATTAACAAGATAGACTACAAATTAATTTCATTTTATATATGGTTATTTGTATAAGATTTCCCCCATTACCGACAATGAAACGATCTAAGCTATTAACTATAAACTACAGTGATAAATTTTTCAAAACACAATAGACACCAGAGCTTAAAAAGACGACACGAAACATTTCAAATATTAGAAACATACCCTGTGTAGATAATTCCATCTCCTCCCCATTTGACACAAGTCACAGCAAGAGTGTGTCCACTGAGACAAATTATAGATTTTTTCAGTGTAATATCCCAAATCCTTGCATCCCCATCTTTACTAGAAGTTACAAATCGACGGCATGGAGAACTAAGGTGGACTGGTTCCCACGAGATACCAGTAATCCATTTCTTGTGACCCTAAGAAAAAGGCAAAAGACAACAGTAATATAAGTAACAAACCAAAACATATGGACACTGGAAAAGATCATCAATATCAAGTAAAAAAGACTTTACTGTAAGTGGGCTGCCTTCTAGTTCTCCTTTCTTTGGATCCCAACAACAGATTTCACCGGATTTACTACCACTCACAAGATGCTTACCATCGGGAGACCACGCAACTGTGAGAACCCAATTCTTGTGCCCTGAAAAAGATTAGAGAATAACTCTTAGTAGGAATCTACAGAGGGAAGTAAGCTAAAGAATGATGGTGAGAGAAATATCAAACCTTTGCAAGTAAACAATGGAGTTTCAGTGTAGAGATCCCAAAGCCTGACAGTAGTATCACCTGAACCACTTGCTAACTGCTTACCATCAGGACTAAACGAAACACAAAGAACAGCTTCCGCATGACCTACGATTCAAAACAACTCAAATAAGCCATTGACACATAGTTAATCAATCTAAAAAAACAGAACATGAAGTATTGCGACAATACCAGCAATTGTCTGTGAGCAACGGTTAACTGGACGAATTCGAAAAACAGCTTGTTGTTGATAAACAATCGTCAAAACCTTCTCCACAGACACTGAAATGCACAATTTTGCAAGAACATTTATTAGATTTTCATAGACAACACCAACCACACTGTTTTAAGAGTGTGTGTTATTTTTGTTTGCCTTTGTTTTTCTCCAAGTAAGTTCCAACAGGTACAAGAAGCTCTTCGTCTGATACATAGAAACTGTAAGGTAACATCTCCTCCTGAATGAAAAAAAAACAGAGGCGTCATGTTTTTGCAAATCCTAAACTACCCAGAAACGAAAAATCAATTCTTTAAAGCAAATTAGAGTTAAAGAAGAGAGGAGAAATGGTTACGTTGTCGAGGAACCTATTGACGAGCTGAGTAAGTTGCAAAGGACCAGCATTTTGAGGAATATACATGGCAGAACCTAAATGAGTTCCTTCTGGGTCTGTTAACAGACACATCACCGTCTTCCCTTCGTCTGTATCCATGCTCATCGTCGACGATGAGTTTCGCAAAGATCACCTGTGCGTTTTAGGTTTTTCTTTGCCGTCCTCCAAGTGAGAAAGAGAAGAGGGGAAGAAGACGATACTCAATTAGGTCATTCGTTTTTTTTTTCAATCACCGCCTTTTAATTAGTGGGCCAATAAGCGTTGGGCCTAGGCCTGGCACAAATATGGATCCACATAGAACCAAACCGAACCGAACCGAAATTGATGGGTATGGTTCGGTTCCGGTTCTAGTGAAAATATCGATTGGATCTTGAATCAAAGAACCATGGGTATCGGTTCGGTTCGGGTAGGAACCGATATCCATTCGGGTACCCAAAAAATATAGCCCATTAACCTATATTTATATAACCCAAAGTCTCAAACTCATCTAGACATAAACCTAACTACCCAAGCCTAACAACCTACCATATATCTCTCTTAGCCTCTTATATATTTTTCTGAAACCTAAAGAGAAATTCTAGTTTGTTATCTTTTTCTCAAAGAAGGAGACGCCGCATACAACAACTCTCTCTTTTGAATCATTGCAAATCGAAGACAAAGCTTCTTTTGGTGTCTTTAAAACTTGTGTTTTGTGGTATTTTTGAAACTTTGGGTGTCTTTTGACTTAAGACTTTCCAAGTTTCAACTATTTTTTGAATTTGTAATGGTAAGATGACTAATATGTGATGTTGCATTGCATACTTGCATAATTGCATTTGAATTTTGCATTATAATTCTACTGTTTTTTCGGTTCCAAAAATATCCGAAACAGTTTGGTTCCTAATCGGTTCCAAAATTTATTACCCGAACCGAACCGAACCGAATAGGAACCGAACCAGAACCGAACCGATATTGATTTGGTTCCAATATGGTTCTTAAATCTCAGAACCAAAATACTTGGAACCAAATGGTTCGGTTCTAGAACCGAACCGAATACCCAAACGCCCAGGCCTAGTTGGGCCAATGAAAAAAACTTTAAAAATTAATAAATCGCCGTCTGTGGGGATCGAACCCACGGCCACGTGGTTAAAAGCCACGCGCTCTACCACTGAGCTAAGACGGCTCTGATAGCAATGGATAGTTTATATTTTATATATCCAGCTCTTACTGGTTAGTGTAAGGTGTTCGGTTCCTGACTGCGGCTAAACATCGTTCGATTCCTGACTGTGGCTAAACACTGCGATTTGCGACTGAATTTTTTGATCGCCGGAAAAATTAGCAACATGATTTTTTTTAATAGCGACTCAACGAGCAATTGCTAAACGAACAACATCCGGCCTTGTTGCCTGTATTTCTTTCGAAGATTTAACATATATGATAATCGATTTCCCATTCACATCTCCAGCTAATTTTAATTAGTTAATATATCATTTTTTAATTAGTTAATTTGAAAAGGACGAAACTAAATCCAGCTACAATTGTTTGTTGCAATGGACGCAACCTGAACTGAATTCAAAAAATTCAAAATTTGACAACAAAACATGCATCTATATAACAAAACATGCTAATGCCAATGTATCAATTGACACAGAACCATAGGTCCATATAGCAAGGTTTTATTTCGTTTAAACGACAATGTGACAATATTCGAAAACGCAAGGATCGAACAAGATTATTGATTCACTACTTAACAACGGCTGAGATAAGTCTCGTGAACAAGTTGTGCGGTTAAGAGATCTACAGTACCCGAGCCAACGGACTTAAACACTGTTATTTCTGTTGAACTCTTTCTGCCTTCTTTGTCACCTTTGATCAACTCTACCAAATTCCCACAAATGTCTTCTTTCTTAATCACTCCTCTCTCGAACGCTCCCACAAGCTCTCCTGCTTCTACCATCGCAGTGTCGTTATCGACAAACACACTCCCTCTTTGTATCGCATTGTCGTCACATTCCTTCATTTCATGGCTAAACGATCCAACAAGGTCAAGATGAGTTCCGGGTTTCAAGAACTCACCTTTGACCAATGGAACAGTTGAGTTTGTTGCACAGCTTATTATATCTCCCAGAGGAATGATTGCATCTAGCGACTCGTGACTCTCGAATGAGATCACTTTGTGTTGAGGATCCTTAGAGAGTGTTTCAGCTAAATCCTGAGCCTTTTGATGAGTTCTGTTCCATATGATCACTCTTCTCAAGCTTGGTTTTGCAGCTAGATGAGATTTAATCAGGTGTGGTGCGAGAGCACCGGAACCAACCATGATCAGCACTTGACTATCGTCTCTAGCTAGGATTTTGGAGCCTAACCCTGAAACAGAGGAAGTACGGTAAAGGGTTAAAACAGTACCGTCCATTGTAGCTAGGGTTTGGCCTGTAGTGGAGCTGAAGAGTGTGTATGATCCGTGGATGCCAGGTAAGTTCTGAGAGGAGTTATGAGGGAAATAGGTCACGAGCTTGACGCCCATGTAAGGGAGAGAAGAAGAAGATGACCAAGAAGGCATGAGGAGGAGAGAGGAAGGTGATGAAACGGTGTAGTTTTGCCGGACAGGGCTTGTGATTGTTGAAGAATGTTTGGGAAGATTGGTCTGAAAGTGATGGATCAAGGTTTCATGTGAGAGGATCGATGGAAAAGACGCCGCTGGTATGAAAACTGGTAACGAAGCCATTGGATTTTGAGAGATTTGTTGATTTCAGGACACGATTGTGGTTTTAAAAAGAGAAAAGGAGAAGAAGACGAACCAAGATTGGTCTTGAAGGTAAAATGTCTAAATCAAGGGTATTTTGGGGAAGGACTTAAAGATGCGATTTGTTTTAGTGACTCTTCTGCAGCAGCTACCCACCAGTCATCATCTTCCTCGCAATTCTCCTGTTAGAGCCAAAGCTTTTCTTTTAATATTCTCGAGAAATTAGACCGAGTCTTAAGTCAATAATAACAAGAAGTCAACTAACCCAGGTAAGAGGTTCAACTGTCTTGGGTTTGCTTTCAAGATCATCTGCGACTTTAACTGCTTCAAGCCACCATGAGCCTCTGCTAGCAGCACTATCTGGATCACATTCGTTATCAACGTAACATTCTCCTTCAGAGTAAAGGTTGTCACAGAGACTCTGTGTGTCTCCTTGATGGTAAATTATATCTTCAGGAAGGTAACTATCTGGAACTGGACGTATTGGAGACCGATAATCTGCAGACATAGTTCATTTTATTTTTAGGAACAAGATTCTGCTTTCAGATTGTTTGCCAAGACAATGAGTAAGAATAGTATACACACCTCGGCAGTCTGGATCGTAGCATTTCTGATAATAGATTCCCCTTCTGAGATCAATGATGTACATCACTAAAACAACAAAGTTTGTTTGAACAAATGTTAGCATAAAAAATGTTATTTGGTGCAGAGAGTACATAAAAAATACTCGAAGCTCATATAGGATGGTACCATGATTGCTTTTATGTTCCCTGCCAATCCGTTCGCAATATCTGTTTCTTAACATGCTGTACACAATCAGGCCATCTTCTGAGAACCAGTACCAGCAGCGTATCTTCCCTAAATATCACAGCATATATATTTTAAGAAGATGAGAATTGAGATCTCCACAACACAACACAACACGTTGCAAAAAGATTAAATGCAACCTGGGAGATTCCCGGTGGAAGCAGTGGATTCTATGAATTGGTCCAGTTGCGGGAACGGGGACTTGCCCCCGAAATACGATGTTGACATGTCACTTGTGCAAGCATTCAATTGAAATTTCTGAGCATTCTGGTCTCTTACAAGATTGTTACTGTTCACCTGCCATCTCCAAAGAGTTCAGTTTAAAGGCGTAAACATTTGTGGTCCCTCAAGTATATGTGGAAGGAAGATGCAATTGGAAGCCAAAAGCACAAGTGTGAGGCAACTGATGAAAAAATTACCTCTGTGTCAAAGCAAAGTATCTTCATACAGTCTGATTCCATCTGGCAAACCAGAAGCTTCTCACAATCTGATTCTACATTGCAGATTAAGGATGTCATGAAAACATCTCGTTCAGCCTGTTTGGTTACCAATGATCTTGTTACTGGAATTACTATGAACTTGTTCTAAAGCAAAACAAGAAGTCGATGCTGAGATAGCAACATGGAAAAGAAAGTGAGGGACAACACAGAGACTTGAATGAAGGTGGTCAGGTGGACTTACCATATCCTTACATTTGAATCGTCCTGTAGGTAAAAGAACCGACGTCTTTCCAGCTTTTGATGATTGTGCAAGACGGAAGCAACGGTTTCTAGAGTAAACAGCGGTATCCACAAAAAGTAGGGATGCCGAATCATTAGCCTCTTTGTGAACAAACAGCTTGCGCAACCTTTCATCTGTTTCCTTCGCATTTACTATCCTTGAGCATAGCTGAAGAAAACATCAAGATGAAAATAAGCCATGCCCGACATAACCTCCCAACTTGCAACTAAGGAAACCATCTTTTCAGGGAATAAAAGTGAAATATCGATTGACGCATACCTCTCCTACAAAAGCACCAACGTGTGAGTTATCCTTAAAGGCAACCTTTGGAATGATAATAATTACATGACGAGAGAACTTATCTGCATATGACATTCATATTGATAATAAAAACCTTATCTGCATATGATTTTTTAAGGAATTCTTTAGGCAAAAGGAACATAGCTTCTCATATAGAAATATCAAAGGAAAAACAGTTTACAATAACTGGCATTTTCAACCTTCTTATACAGAAATATCTATAAATTTTTTTTAACAATAACTGGCATTTTTTTGAAAGCCCTCAGAGAATATAGCTGAAGCAAAAAGGACACCTCATAATCAACTAGCAGCTGGGAGAGCATATATATTACCTTTAGTTGAGGAGTCAAGCTCTACTATCCAGTCTTCTTGTCCTTCAATAGCATATTTCTCATGCAAGGCTTCAAGAATGACTGATATCAGGATATCAACCATTTCATCCACATTTTTTCCTTCATTTTCTTTCTGATTGAACTCCAAATCAAAGTACATATGGCATGGCAATCCCTGAGAAGCCGTTGTAATTAAATGCAGTGAATCAAAAGCCAGACATGCGTATATGTTGCAAGACTGGAAGATCTACCCTTGTGAGAGGAGCTTTGTAGAAACACTAAAATAGTCTATGGCAGCATAAGGGAATGAGATCGAGATACCTCTTGAATCACTTCATAATGGTGTCGATGCCTTGGATCCATAGATTTGTATCTAAGGTAGAAGGGTAAATGTATTAAAACACTTGAGAGAAGTGATCTTGACTTTCAACACTTAACTCAAGTAATGTTAAGAAGGGAAATAAAAAAACCTCTTCCAGAATTCTTCATATGTTGAAACCAGAAACCTTCTCTGGCCACTAAAATGATCTTGATAACTAAAAATCCGCACATTGTCATGCCTTTTTTCAAACTTTATCGCTTCATCTTGCCGAGGAAATGTAGCCCAAACTCCTTTCCTAAACAAAGTGAAGACCATGCCATGATATACTACAATTAAATCTTCTAAACACAAATGAAAATCTTCCAAGAAGAGTCAGCACCAGCTTATTCATAGATTACCTGGAGATTGCTTTCCTTTCTTCACTAAGATCAATACGTATCTCACGCAAGAGCCTTAACAAACTCAACGGTCTTTTCGGAGGAACACCATTTGGAGATCCATAAAATACAATGGGTGAAAACTGCCTCCCAACACTCTTTTTCACATTCCTAGAACCAGACTGACATATAACATAAGAAGACAATCACAATTCACTCCACACAGCAATTTAAAACACAATAAACAAAACTTTGGGTTCAAGATACATACAACAGATTCAAGACTCAAACCTCCATCAATCTGATTACTTTGTCCTTTTCCAGATAATCTAGACAAAGAACTTAGCTGCAACTTCTTACAGGTCCCAGGAGAGTCATTCTCCGTATTCAACATTTTCTTGCTCCGTTTCTTTTCTCTCATAGCAGAAGCTGAAAAAATTCCACAGTAGTAATTTCAGTTTTCAACTTTGTATATTGCTATACAAAGATCTCAAACAGGTTTCGTTGTAGAAGAACATAAGATTCAAATTGACAATTGCGCTAACCAAACATTCAAATCAATTGCAAAAAGCGATGAATCTCTCTTCGAGCAATCACAGAACATGGAATCCACTAATGGGAGAGAGTAAAAGAAGCTCACCAGGCGGAGAAATCCCACACTTGAAACACTGAAACAATCGATCAACATCATCCATGGCGTTCGCGCTAAGTTTCTTCGACATTTTTTTTCTCCTCTCTAGTCTCTTCCTTCTACTTCTCACTGTTTCACAATTCTAAGTGAGATTTCATTTCCCCCTTCGATTGGATTTGAAATTTTTGGGTTTTTTTTTTCCGTTCAAAAAAAAAAAATCAAAGACGAGGTCAAACGTACGCAGAGTGGTCATCTTATCCACGTGTCGATAATCTATTGGGAAGTGCTTATAATACTACTTCCTGTTTGATGACTAGAGATTAAAACACTGTGCCGTTTACTTGCCGTTTACTTGCCGTGTGTTTTCAGAGACGAACGACACGATTGTTCGTAAACAAACATTTGGTCGTCCGGAGAAGAAGATTAACGGCGGGGAAGTTGCTGGCTCAGGTCGCCGGAAAAAAGCAATAAAAAGATCAAAGAACACCAAATTAGATTGTGATGCAAAATTTGGGATTCTTAAGTTTCGTATCACAATCTAATTTGGTGTTCGTCTACGCCAATATCGCGTATTGCAAGTCCAAGGTTTGACAAATCTCACAATTCTCAACTCGTCGAAGTGTATGAATAATCTTAGGTTCATTTTTTTTTTTTGGTCGAATTATTATGATCAGTCTTTTCTTTGAAGAATTTTCATTTGAGATTTTAAAATCTGCTATGAATCGCTCATCAATTTTAGTGTTACATTGCTAATTTTTGATTTTTCATTACGTAAATCTCATGAAAAGTGACAAATGAATAAATAATTTGCTAGTGGAGTATGATCAGTATATTGTAGAGGATTTGTTAGCAGAAAAACCTGAAGAAGATAGTGATGTAGCATTTGAATAATGTAGCAATTTTGTGTCTTGCTTCCATTAGTTGGTGGAATTGGCCAATTTTTTAAAAGAGGTTCTTGGTTTTGTTCTTCTGAATTATTTTAAGGCTTGTTCTGGTTTGGAGGTCATTTCTTATCTTGACCCTTACAGATATTATTATTGTTGTGGTCCTTTGAACCGTCGTTTGCTTCTTTTGTGAATTGGTCGTTATCTGGGTTGGGTATCATCAAGGTGTTGATCTTTTTTCACCTGCTCCTTTGGAACTTACTTTGTTGTATTAGTGTTTCTGAATATCCTAGAAACACTTTAAAAGATTTTTTCTTGGCGTCAATGTTTCGGTGCTAAAGACCACAAGAACGTTGGGTGTTCTTTTGTATGATCGACCATAGTGAATAGTTTCAGTCGCTCTGACTCTGAGTTGATAATGCAAATGGTTGTATGTTGTTATTTTCCTCACACCTTTGGTATAAGAACCGCACAACATAATTGAATTGAAATATCGAATAAGTGAGTTTGAACTTGATTCACAGCTTTACTTGCTGTCTTTGCCAACATCACTTTATAAGACTTTCTGGTATTTCTGTCCGATATCAGGTCACTGGAGCATGATAATGTGACAATGACTGGAGATAGTGGACATCAAATTTGTGTTTTGTGGGCCGATGAACAAATTTTTTATTGTGAATGCAAAGGTTCTTGCAAAAGGGAATTTGTTATTACCTTATGTAATAGCTGATATCAGAATGAAATTACTTCTTTAATATGAAATTTTGGATGGTGGTTCTTGGACTCTGTTCTCTTGGTGTAGCAGTTGGTATACTATGTCATCCACTCCTACTATTTAAGCTCCAGTGATTCCCAAACTCATTCTCTCTCTGTCTCAACATTCATAGCTTTAGTCTTTACCTTCTAAATTACTTAAGAAATGGCTGCAGATGATGTCCCTTGCTGTGAGACTATGTTCTGGGTGTACCTACTCGTATGTGTTGCTCTTGTGGCTTTTGCAGGTTTGATGTCAGGACTGACTATTGGGCTCATGTCCCTTAGTCTTGTTGAGCTCGAGGTCATGATCAAAGCCGGTGAACCCCACGAGCGCAAAAACGCTGGTCAGTTTCATGAACCCATTGACCTACTCATACTTTATTACTACGTATTCATACTAAGTACTAACACCCTATTAAAAAATCTGTAACAAAATGGCCAGAAAAGATTCTGCCACTCGTTAAAAACCAGCACCTTCTCTTGTGTACACTCCTTATAGGCAATGCTTTGGCAATGGAGGTAGCAAGCTTATGCGTATATCTTTGGATACTTATTTGTGTTGTGCACACTTCAGCTTTTTAGAACTTATGATGCAGTTTGTACTGACTCTGTTTTCAATAAAATCCAAAAGGCTCTACCAATCTTTGTCGATTCGCTGCTTCCAGCTTGGGGTGCTATTCTGATATCCGTGACTCTCATACTTGCATTTGGCGAGGTGAATGGAATTTATATTAGCTTTCTCTGCTAATCTGATTTTTAACATCACCCAATAGGCAATAGATTACTGTTCTTTTTCCATTGTTGTAGATTATACCTCAAGCTGTATGCTCTAGATACGGGCTGAGCATCGGGGCAAAGCTATCAGTTTTGGTTCGTTTGATTATCATAGTCTTCTTCCCATTATCTTATCCAATCAGCAAGGTAATTCAATCAGCTTAACATCAATGGAACTTTTAGTAGAATCAATTGAGTTTATAAATTACGCAGAAATCATTTGAAGTTAAAAGAGTACTCCAAATTTTTCTTCTTTCAATGCTTCAGCTACTCGATTTGTTGCTTGGAAAAAGACATTCCACACTTTTGGGACGAGCAGAACTCAAGTCACTTGTGTATATGCACGGAAATGAGGTTCGTTTCAAGAATTTGAGATGCTTTTATTGTTTTGTCAATATGTGAGGTGAAACCATGTCTTTTTCTTATTCTTTCTCCATGTCCTTTTTCTGACAATTAGGCTGGAAAAGGTGGTGAACTGACTCACGATGAAACAACAATCATATCAGGAGCTCTGGACATGTCTCAGAAGAGTGCCAAAGACGCAATGACACCAGTCTCTCAGATCTTTTCACTCGATATAAACTCTAAGCTCGACGAGTATGTTCTTCTCTTGGAATTCCTCTTCCTTCTTCTTTTAGACAATATATATAATATATTCAGTTAGTTCTTTATTCTTATCCTCATCTTTGGGCCTCATAGAAAGACAATGGGATTAATAGCAAGTGAAGGCCATAGCCGAATACCTATATACTCTGTGAATCCTAGCGTTATCATCGGATTTATTCTGGTGAGTAAGCAACAAATCTATTACATGCGATAATCTTGAGAAACACTTACATGATTTTTGAATTGGTTTTTTGGTTTGAGTAGGTAAAGAACTTGATCAAAGTCCGCCCTGAAGACGAGACACCGATCAGAGATCTCCCTATCAGAAGAATGCCCAGGTAATATACATACATATATACTCTCTAACTAAACTGCTTTCGAAGCTGAACCAATCAAAGCTTATTTTTCTTACAAAATCTGCAAGCAGGGTCGATTTGAATTTACCTCTCTACGACATCCTCAACATCTTCCAAACAGGTCGAAGCCACATGGCTGCTGTCGTTGGGACCAAGAACTATACTAATACCAACACTCCAGTCCACGACAAGAGCATCAATGGTTAAGAGACTTTGTATATATGAGAGAGCATTAAATCCAAAATCATATAAAGTGTTGAGATGAGAATATTTATGTCTTCTGTATATTCAGGAACACCTAATAAAGACGCTAATGTTGTTCTGAGCATTCCTGTGATGAACTCCAGCGAAAGTAATCGTCAAACTCCAATCCGATACATCGATAGCATTGCTGATGAAGATGAAGAAATCGTTGGGATTATAACTCTGGAAGATGTTATGGAAGAACTTATACAGGTACTCCTCTTACAGATGTTAGTTTTCTAACATGACATTTGTGATTGTTTTTTTTACTTAACTATTTGATGAACCTTGAAGGAAGAAATATTTGATGAGACGGACCGATACGTCGAACTTCATAAAAGGTATGATCACCATTTATCAATCATACAATAGACTGCAATTTACAGTATTTTCACTGGACTTTGAACATTTTTCCAACTACAGGATAACAATAAACATGCCACTATCGGGAATTTCGCCGGAAACTGCCACTTGGGCTTCAGAGCTGGCATCTCCTATCTCACCGTATCGCTCAAGTCCTCTGTCACCGAGCCTCATGATCTCTACGCTGCTCCGGTCACCAATAAATTCACCTTACCGCCACCAGTCTTTGTTTCTCCGGCCAACACTTCACGCTTCTCCACCGGCACAACCTCCTTCCGTGCTCTCTCGGGACAGTAACGAGCGTTATTACTATCTATCTCCTAGTAGGGTACGTAACGTGGTTGTCAAGACATTGCTTTGTAGTCTCTTGCTTGCGCTGGAAGTTAATTCCCCACTTTGCTTATTGTTTGCGTTGTTCCTTGCAGGTGTTGAGGAAATCTTATGAAAAGTTATCAAGATCAAATGGTTCGTAAAATTGGATCTATTATATATAATCTGCATTCAAGAAAAATAGATTTATAATTTTCGGAACACTCATTCCATGTTCTTAAAAATTCAAAATTGAAGAAAATATTCCAACGAATTCTTTATTTTCATGGAAAGAAGAAATAAAATAAAGAAGGATAAAATAGTTGGAAATGTGTGGCAATGAACATATCCCAAAGATAAAAACAAAATATGTCACCTTAAAGACTAAAACCATATAATACATGTAGATAAGGTTAATAAAGAAAACCATTACAAGAAGAAGAAGAAAATGAGAGCTCTCTTGTGCTCACACCATTTACTACCATTATCATCTCTCTCAAGAACAACTCTCAAAACCAAACTTCAAAATCCAAGAACTCTAATTCCTAACAACAAACCAAGATGGGAATCCAAGCTCCACGCAGGACCCAAGGGGTTTCAATCTACTAAAAGCTCTGAAAACCCGGGCCGGCCTGACCCGGACCCGGAAGACGACCCGCCAATACCTCAAGAAGTGTTCGAGCGGATGATGGGAAGGATCGTCGTGTCGGTAGGAACACCACTAGGCCTAGGAGTGGCAATCTTGAAAATACTCGAAGTCTTGAAGGATAGGAAAGTCTGGGACGTGCCGTTGTGGGTTCCATTCTTGACCACACTCGTGACCTTTGGTTCGTCGGCTCTTGGGATTGCGTACGGAAGCTTGTCCACAAACTTGGACCCGACCAAGACTAACTCTCTTTTCGGACTCAAAGAGGCAAAGGAGAATTGGGTAGAGATGTGGAAAGAAGACTAATGATGGTAATGTATGAATGATAATAATGTTGATTTTTTTACAAAGAATAAGACAAATTATTGAATATATTCAGCATAGGAAAAAATTCTACTTACGTGAATGAAACCATGAAAAAAAAAGACTAGTAGTCTGTTCGTTTGGTCGTCGCAGGTAGTTGCGGCAGCGGCAGACGCAGGTGAGGTTGTTCGTTTGGTCGCTGCAGGTACCTGCGGCATAACGCTGCGGCAAACACTGCGTTCTGCGGGTAAAAATTTTGGACGCTAATTAAAATCAGCGTCAAACGATTAAAAGCAGCGGTTGCCGCTGCCGTAACCGCCTGCGGCGACGAAACGAACAACAATCTGCGGTAATGTTTGCCGCCTGCGGCGACGAAACGAACATACTACTAGTAAGAAAAAAGATTAATTATTACCAGAGGATTAAAAGTAAAAGTTAACACTTTAAGATCAACTTTGTCATGTATATATTGATTATTTTTTTTCAAATAAAAATCTTCCGAAAAATGTTAACATCAAAATTTGCTTAGGCATGATTGTAATGGTACGGGTTAACATAACATTATTTTATCATACATGAATTACAGTACTCTTCCATCAAAATTAACCAATTATGTGTTCATATATATTAACATTATTGAAATAACTCTAGAAAAATCACATAATCACACAAGTATTATTTGGTTGATAGTAAGAATCAGGATAGGCATAGGCAGGATTGTATTGGTTCTGGTAGTTCATCGGAGCCGCAATATTTTCAGTCGGTTTAGCTGGAGCTGGAGCTGGTTTAGGTGGAGCCGGTTTCTCCGGTTCAAGCTTTTTCTCAGGTGGTTTAACTACTTCAACAGAAACAATCTCTGTGTTACATAGCTTCCTTAGCTTCATTACGATAATTGGCACATCAATTTCTCCCACTACCGTCAGTTTCCCGGTTTTGTCATCCATAGTTATCGAAGTAACACCTATATTACAAAAATATTTCATGAATAAATACCTCCCACAATATCATTCTACAAATTTAGAAAAGTAACTTACAAAGATACCTGTAAATCCAGCAACGGTCACAAACACTTTCGTCCTGATTTTCTCCTTGTCAATAATCAATTGCAACACAGCTTTCTGCCATTTCAAACAAGAGATTAGTATGACTAATTGCATAGTTTCGACTTACTATAGCAATAGTTAAATAGTACATATATATAATGATTAATTAACGCATAATTATATAAAGAGGGCTAAAACTAGATAAAGGGGTGTACCTTTGCAGCCATGGCTCGAGAAAACTATGGAAAAGCTTCAGAAATTTTCAAAGAGAGGGATGAATTGAGATCCCGAAGAAGTGATTAGCCACAAAGTTATTAAATAAACTTATTTATACAAAGTTATAACTTGATAAGCAAGTTTTTGACATATACGATTATAAGAAACCTACCTATTTAACAATAAGGCAATATTACACAAATGTTAACTTTTCTAATAACAATATGGAAATATGTCTAATTTGAACTCGTAATCACGGAGATCTCCTAACACTTCTTGATGATAATTTGCGTAGGAATTTGCACTTATTTATTAAATATATGACCCACAAGTATTTTGTCTTTTTACAATCAATAGCATTGCGAACGACCACAAAAACGAGTAGAGTAGTAATTCTCTCTATTGATTTGTTTTGAGTATTTTTCACGAGTTGGTTGAAACTAGAATTTCGGTGTAACGGAATTAATAGGAAGTAGTATTTAGAATCCCGCGTGCAAGGCGGGCCATTTATTGACTCTTTGGTCACGTAATAACTTATCACGCAAGTTATCTAGAGTGTTTGGAAAAGTTGAATCACATAGAAACAAAAGCTGAAATCAAAATCAAACCGAGATAGAAGTCATAACGGTTCTTTTATAATCTTTTAATTATGTTGAAGAGAGCGGAAAGAGAAGGGTTCAATGTTCTTCTCGCTTTGTCTCTATATATTGTAGCAATGTTGACTTATAAGAGTCAAACGAAGAAGAATTCAAAGCTGTCCAGAGGAAAATTGAAAGAGAAGCCGAGGACAACGAGTGGTTTGTATGAATGATCTAGGTTCAGTTTTTTGGTCCTTTTTTTCTTTTTTCTTTTTCAAAAGCTTTGTTTCTATTACAAGATCAAGTGGTTACATAACGGAAGAGTTTAGTTAAGTACTCAAAGAGGAGGATGAGATAGTAAGTGTTCTCTCCATGAAAGAGGAATGTTGCATCAAATAAATCTCCATAAAGGAGGGAAGTGCAGACAGGAAACCCTCAAGGTCAAGTATATAGCGATTTTGGCTCTATAGGACTTATCAAAGACATGTCACTGAAGCTTAACTGTTTTCCATTGTAATTGAAACCATACCAGAATTAGCACAACTCTGAATTGTGGTTGCTGGATTGGGACAAGTAGGACTTGCTTCAGAAAATACATTTTCAAATTCACGTTTTATATGATTTATATTCCTATTTTAATCGTCCATGTGAAGGCACAACGGCGATATTAAAATAATCCACTAAGAAACAACTTTTAGCTAAGATTCACATATCATAAATTTTTGAATTAACATAATATTTTGACAGATTGTAACATAAATAGTTGAATAACACAAGATGATTCTTAGTTTCAAAATTCATCTAAATATACAATCCAATAAATGATTTAATACATATTCTTAAAGCCATATGGATTTTGACATATATTTTTATTAAAAAATCCAAGTGGACATAAAACAATATTTTAAAATACACAAACCAACGAACTCTTTTAATAATTTTCATTTCTTGAGTCAGGATTTAGATCTTAGTTTTTTTTTTTTTTTTTTTTTTTTTTTTTTTTAAAGAACTAGTGTAGCAAAAAAAAAATGTGACAAATATTAAAGAACTAGTGTAGCAAAAAAAAAAATTAGGAAAAGTTAACAATCCAATAAACAAACCACCTAAAAGTAAAACATCCTATTTTTTTGTTTATGTTTTTGGTTTATATTTCAAAATTATTAATAGAGTACACCAAATTTTGACTTTTATCTAAATTTATTGTGTAAATAACATTAATTAAGTAACACAAGATTTGTATTTCGCTATCAACACAATTCATAAATCTAAAGTTTTGGCGATTCATATTAAAGTTGTTTTGGTAAGAAGACTTGAATAATTCTTCATTTCAGATTCAAGTAACGAAATATACTCGTAAGCATCAATCCACATGTTGACCCACCACGTCGCGCTAGACTTTTGCTTAGTCTTTTATTATTGTTTCGTTTGTTATAGAAGACTTTTCGGATCTTGACTTTTTCCATATCTCTTTTTTTCATACTCGCTAATAGTTCAAAATTATTTTTATATTTAGACAATCGAATGTGTTACGTGAACGATCTTGATTCTTGATGTTCATGAGTCAAGAAGGAGTTGAGAACGACTTAACTATCTATGTGTCATGTGTGTATATATACATAATTATATATTATCTTTATTAATTTGTATCCAAAATTATGATCCCATTCAACCAATAACCAATCCCCCGCAACATATTTATACTCCCTCTGTTTCACAAAGAGTGTCATTTTAGAGTTTTGCACACAGATTAAGAAAACATTAAATTTTTTGTTTTTTCTAAACAAAAACATCATTAACTATATACCTAAACATAATCTGCCCAATAGTAAAACAATATGCAGAATACTAATAGTAATAAAACATAAAAAAATCATTAAATTTTGCATTGAAAACCTAAAACGACACTCTTTGTGAAACAAAAATAAAACCTTAAAACGACACTCTTTATGAAACGGAGGGAGTAATTTATTAGTAGTATACTAGCTTGAGGCCAAATATAGAATATATTCCGCATAGGAGACAACAAGTCTACGTAAATGAAACCACAAGGGGAAAAAAAAAAGAAAACTAATTATTACTATTTTTTTTTTGTAATGACTAATTATTAATTACTATATGATTAAACGTAAAAGTTGATAAAGCGTATTAAGATTAATTTTGTAACACAGAAATTGTTTTATTTTCTCCGATTAAGCTCATACGAGAAATGTATATTACAGTATCTAGGAATATTACACTTTTCCATCAAAATTTTAAGTTTTAAATGACAACATTATTCGAAAATAACTCTAGAAAAAATTACATAATCACACAATTTGGTTCATCTACTACTCTACAATTCCCGTATGGTTGATAATAGTAAGAATTTGCATAGGCATGATGAGGATTATATTGGTACGCGTAGTTCATCGGATATGTAATAAATTCAGCCGGTATAGGTGGAGCTGGTTTCTCCGGTTCAGGCTTTTTCTCAGGTGGTTTAACATCATCTACCGAAACGATATCTGTGTGACATAGCTTCCTCAGCTTCATCACGATAACCGGTACATCAACTTCTCCAACTACCGTCAATTTCCCACTTTTGTCATCCATTGTTATCGAAGTAACCCCTATACATATATTAAAAAAAAAAAAACAAATCATGAATAAATGTTTATGATCCCAACAATATCATGTTACAAATTTCTAATATAGATTTTATAAAAGATACCTGAAAATCGAGAAACGGTAACAATCGCTTTCTTCCTGATTTTCTCCTCGTGAATACTCAATTGCAACACAGCTTTCTGTCATTACAAATCAGAAATCAGTATGGTTAATTGCATAGTTTCAAACTTTCAATGTAAAAAAAATGATAATTATATAGTTAGAATAGTATGTGTACCTTCGCAGTCATGGCTCGAGAAACTACTCCAGAAATTCGGATATTTTGTTTTCTTAAGGAGAGAAAGAGTAGAGATAAATTGAGATATGGAAGCTTCTTGATGACATATTGCAAGTCTTATGATATCTATATATATATATATAAAGAAATTGCGTAGGAATATGCGAGTATGACCCCAAAAAGTTGTTGTAAAGACTAAAGAGTAAAGTAGTCATTCTATATTATTTTGGTTGTAACGAAATCATACGGAAGTGTAACATTCAGAATGCCGCGTGTACGACCCGGTCGACCCGGACCATTTGTGACTCTATTGACTCTTTGGTCACATAAGAAATTCTCAGGAAAGTTCTCTACAGTGTGTTCTTGGAAAAGTTGAATCATACCAAAACCAAAAGATAAAATTAAATCGAAATCAAACCGAGATTTAAGTCACAATTGTTCTTTTATAAATTTTAAAGATGTTATGAAGAGATGAGAGGAAAGATAAGTTTGATTCAATGTTATCGTTAGTTGTTTCTCTCTAGGTATCATATAGCAATGCCTACTCAGAGCCACACGAAAATAATTCGAAGCTGCCAAAAGAAAAGTTGAAAGCCCGAGATCATCGAGGGATGCAGTCAAGAAGGAAGTAACAAGTAGCAAAATCTTTAACAACAACAACATCAACAAAAAGGTAACAAGTAGTAGTTTACTAGTTTGTGATCTCTAGGTTTTGTGTTTGTGATGGAAACGAATATTTGTGTAAATTATATCCCATGTTTGTTTCTTGAGGTTAAATTTCTGTTACCAGGAATATTTGATAGAACTTCAGGATCGTTTTATCGCTTCATTGATTCCGAAAGCGTCACTGCTTCTGTTGATGTCAATGGACTAATTGATTTTGCTTCCATGTTTTTTATCTTTTTTTGTCATGAGACCAAACTATAGGATCTACTTCATGTAACTCCTAAAAATTTTCATTTTATGAAATACTAACATTTTTAGAAAAAAAAATTTTTTTGATAAAATTTGAAACAATACAAAGAAGATTAGCATAAGGACGAACATCAATCGAGAAATTGTTCAAATTTTAAGAAAATAATAATAATTTGGAAACAATGTATGTGAATCTTTATCGTAATTTATACTCTCTCCATTTTGCTATATGTACTCATAAACAAGACTGTTTTATCTGAGAGAAGCATTATAGGGAGAGATGAGTATATTTAGTATATTCATTTCTCCGAATTTTAGATTAGCTGACTCTCCTACTACGTCAAATTGTCTATCTTTGATTGATGCGTTAGTGTATAAATATAGAAGTAGAGCTGTAGAGGTGTTTAATCTTCACAATATATATAAAATATTTACTAAATACGTCCCATTTTTTTAATATACTCACAGGTTTCTTTTGTTTGTCTGATACACAATCATTTGAAGATAATTAAACTTTTTTACCCAATTATACCAGCAATTCCTTTATGCAGTTTTTCATGGCGAGCGATTGCACATACGACTCTTCGACGAACAATTCTATCCGCATCGCATGGTAAATAGTTCTCATTGCCAGAGCCGGCCAAGAGGCCAAGCGGGCCAAGCATTAGCTTGCGGCCCCTAAAAATATATATACTTAATCGGCCACATTTATGCTGTAACTCTTCCTTAGTCTAGTGGTAAAAGCCCCTCTTTTGCTTTCAACACTTCTAGTTCGATCCTCACTTGCTACATTTGTTATTTTTTTTTTTTTTTTTTTTTTAAATAATCACTTTTAACCAGCCTTTTTTTGGTTTTAGCTTGTAGCCTTCCCATCTGTAGGGACGGCTCTGCTCATTGCACATATATAACTTTACTTTTTAATAGACAAAACTTCATCGAATGGTTCTACCTTGCATCATACTAGTAAAACGCATTTCATGCTTCCATGTTTTTTAAACTTTTTCGGCATGGGATCTTAACTTTTTTGTGTAACCTTAACTTTTTTTATTATGAAATGAATATTTACATTCTTAGCAAAAAAAAGTATAGCACATTTTTTACTCACAATTCTTTGTCGGACAAAAAACAAATTCTCAAAAAATCATAATCTCATTTTGTAATTTAAAAATATTAATAGAATAACACAAAATTTTAATTTATATTTTAAGCGATTGATTAAATAACACATAATTTAAACTAAAATCTTAGAAGTCAAGACTAAAAGTAACACAAGAGTTTCGTTAGATCTCAAAATTAACTCAATGCATGAATCCAAAATTTTAATTATTTGATTTTTTTGTGTGATTCATATTAGCAAAATGGTAAGAAGACTTGGATAATACTGCCATTTCATAGTCAAGAAAGGAAATGCCCTCGAAAGCCACAATTTACATGTGGATCCCTCCAAGTAGGAATCTTCTAGGGAACTTTATTTATTATTTGTTTTGTTAAAGGAGACTTTCCGATATTGACTCTCTCCATCACATCTTTACTAACATCTCATTCTCCAATAATTGTTTCAAAATTATTGTAGTTTTGGACAATCGAATGTATTACGTGAAGTGAACGATCTTGATTCTTGATATTCATAAATGAGTTGAGAGCGACTTAACTATGTGTGTGTGTTATATTTTTGTATCTAATTGATTAGAATTCTAGCAAAAGACAAAGTATAGAGAATATTCTCTTGAGGAAAAAAGATCAAATATTACTAGATGATTACAAGTAAAAGTTAACAAAACAAGATCAATTTTATCACACAGTAACATAATTTTTTTCCGAATAAGCTCATATGATAAATGTATATATAGCTCAAAAAATTACACTCTTCCATTAAAACTAACTTAAACATTATTTGAAATAACTCTATAAAAATCACATAATCACACAATTTGATTCGTCCGTTACAAATCTAGAATTCCCGTATGGTTGATAGTAAGAATTTGCATAGGCAGGATTGTATTGGTAAGGGTTGTTCATCTGAACCGGCCAGGCAACAATTTCACCCGGTTTAGCTGGAGCTGGAGCTGGTTTAGGTGGAGCCGGTTTCTCCGGTTCAGGCTTTTTCTCAGGTGGTTTAACAACTTCAACCGAAACAAGCTCTGTGTTACATAGCTTCCTTAGCTTCATCACAATAACCGGTACATCAACTTCACCAACTACAGTCATTTTCCCGGTTTTGTCATCAATTGTTATCGAAGTAACACCTATAGATTAAAAAAAAAAAACATGAATATAAGTTCATTTTCTCAACAATATATCATGTTATAAATTTTGAAATGTAATTAATAAAGTTACCTGGACATCTAGAAACAGTAACAAACGCTTTCTTCCTGATTCTTTCCTCGTGAATGCTCAATTGCAACACAGCTTTCTGTCATTCCAAATGAGAGACCAGTATTGTTAATTACATATTTTCAATCTAATTAACATAACTATATATAGTTAAATAATATTCATATAATACGATTAATCAACGCATAATTATTTTAAGAGATATAAAAGGAAAAAGAGGGCGTACCATCGGAGGCATGACTCGAGATCAACTATAGCAAAGCTTCAGAAATTTCCGATATTCTTAAGAGAGAGAGAGAGAGAAGAGAGATAATCTAAGATATGAAAGTTTTGATGATGACAATAGCAAGTCTAATGAAATCAGTTTATATAGAAATTTCTAAGGAATTTGCAAGTGTTATTATATTAAATATTATATGACCCACAAGGGAAAGTTTTTGTCCTTTTTAATAACAATAGTCTTGAATCGACCAAAAAAAAGGTTAAAGTAGTCATTCTTTATCAATTTTATAAAAAAAATTATGATTTGGTTGAAAATTAATTTCAGTGTAACGAAAGCGAACGGAAGTGTCCGTAGTTTTCAGAATTCCACGTGTACGACCCGGACAACGTTGATTTTGGTGGACCTTATTGACTTCTTCGGTAATAAGAACTTCTCAAGCAAGTTCTCTAGGAAAAAGTTGAATCATATCAAAACCAAAGCTGAAATCGAGATCAAACCGAGATTAAAGTCAGAAAGTTTCTTTCATAAAATCTGTTTAAGGATGTTGGATCTTTTTTAAACTCTTAAGTAGCTTCTTCTTTCTAAACAAAGTAAAAAAATAATTGTGGAGCATTATTGTTTTATATTTACTTAAATATCAATTGATAAAAATTTAGTTCATTTTGAATCATTAGAGATCTAATTTAATTATTTCAGAAACAAAATCATTTGAATTAGACATATAACCTAGTGATTTGTGTTAAAATGGTAGTTGTGTCCGCATCTAAATCTAAATGCATGTTATTAACAAGAAAATATAAAAAAGAAAAAGAAATAATAGATATACTGGGCCTGGAAGTGGCAATCCTGGTCTAGTCATGTTTAGTGTATAATGGACTGGACTAGAACAGTTAAAACAATCACAACATAACAAAACCAAAGATTACGACCAAGCTGATGAATGATAAGTGAACCATAGCAATCCTGGTCTAGTCATGTTTAGTGTATAATGGACTGGACTAGAACAGTTAAAACAATCATAACAGAACAAAACCAAAGACTACGACCAAGCTGATGAATGATGAGTGAACCAAAATATTGTTGTCAAGAGATGACACAAGCATTTGGATCTTCGTTGTAACATCCGTTAAAATTATGGTAATAAGGTGGACATGGAGGGACACAATGATAAATCACATCTGGTGGCTTTGTTTCAGGCTTCTTCGGATCATCAGGCTTCTTCTTCTCTGGTTCTTTAACCGGTCCAACCGAGATAAACTCGGTATGACATATCTTCTTCAATTTCTTCACAATCATATAGGCATCAATCTCTCCGGTCACTGTTAGTTTACCGTCTTTCATGTCCACCGAATTAACTCCTTCATTACCAAAAAAATGGAAAAAAAATTCTTCAATACAAAAAAAATCAAAATATACTTCATTATGATTTAATTAATTGATTAAGAGATTTATGAGGCTTAAACGTAAAATAAACAATATATTAGCAATTTTGATGAGTGTTCGTGTATACCTGAGAGACAACATACAGTTGACATAGCTTTTTTTTTTGTTCTTTCACAATGAACATCCAATTTCAGCACAACTACCTGCCAATGAAAATATTAAATATGATAAAAAAGCTAATTAGGATAGCATTATGACATTTGATATATGCTAATTTCTACATATATAAGCCATAAATAAGAAAACTGGAAAATCTTTACATATATTATTACAAGCTTCCAATGAAGTAAAATAGAGTAGGAAAAGATAAAGAATTGAACCTGCATGGTTTCTAGTGTTTGGAAAATATGTAAAAGTCGTGGATTAATTGCTAATGAGCTTTGAAAGTGTCCCTTCTTTAGTCCTTTATATAAGCAGTTGCAAGTTGCTGGGCATGAAAAAAGACAAGGATAATAACACCAATTTTCTTTTAACGTTGAAAATGAAAAAAAATCGAGTATGTCTTAAGTGTAATTTGGTGTACCTTCTCCACGCATATACAATAATTATAAAAAAATTAAACTAGATTTTATTAAAATAACACGTTTTTCTTCTTCATTTTAGCATTAAAGCGGTAACTATTGGCCAAAAGATAAATTTATCAGTCGAAATGGCTCCGGAAATAAAATAACACACTCTTTCACAATTATATTTTGATAGCTGCTTGAGGCTTATTTATCCCTTTTAAAACTGGAAACAGAAACATGTATTTCTTTTGGAGGTGATGCTATTCAAATCAAATGTTGGACCACGAAAGCGAGATTCAAGTTGAATAAACTAAGATGGACAAACCAACAAATTTGCAGCGACTAAATATATAGCATTAAGTCTTCAAGTGTAGGATTAATTGTGAACCAAGAATTACGTTTTCATCAACTCCCTCGTTTCCAGGCAAATTACCAAGCCGGTTTCGTTGTCATGTTGTAACCTTGAAAAGGATCTGGTCGGATCATCTTGAAACATAATTCATACCAGATGCAACGTAGCATTTGTAGTTTAGTTTGTCTACGAGTTTGAGTATCGAGTATCAATTTGGAAAAACAACTTCTTTAGTCTAATAACATTTGCTCTAGTTTAACTCCAATTTAAGAGTCTTCCTTCTGACAATTCCAGTAAACAACTTTTGATAATCTGTTTTTCAGTCAATTTTTTTTTCAAAGATTTTTTATTTATGCCGTTGAAGTATTGGATACGAAAGTGTCTAAGCGTAGTTTCACAGCCAAAAAGTATGGAAAACTTTGGAGAGATAAGATGTTGAAGTTGTCGTATATAAATGTGAGCTTGCTAACCACAAATTCTGGTATATAATTTTTCACTATCTAATCTGCTCCATTTTGGACTTAATAAAGTTAATTACAAAGCATCTGGTATGAATTATATTTGTTACGTTGAAATTCATCATTTTTAAAGATGTTTAACATTTTACTCCAAAAATAGAAAGGGTGCCAATCTTTTATTGATACTATTGAAAAACCACATTGGATGACCCAAATCATCAGCTGAATTTAGAAAAAAACGTACAAAACGCAAATATGTAAAACAAAAACAACACCACAAAAATGTTAGAATTAAGGAAACTAGAAGATGCGATGATATATATCACTAGAGTACGGTCCCTCATGCATGAAGCTCAAACAGATCGCTACCTTAAACTATATTTTTTTTCTTTCTTATGAGATACTTAACAAATTGGACAAAAGATATATTCAATTCACATGATTATACAACCATCCGAGTTTTCGCCTCGAACTCTCGACGGACGAGGGTGAGGTATGGACGGACGAGAGTGAGTTATAGGCGCGGTTTTGCTCCGGTTCCCTAATGGGTTCAGCTGCGATTATGGCAATATGTTTACATATTTTCTTCAGTTTCTTCGTCATTTCATAATTATCAAATTCTCCTGTCACCTTAAGTTTCCCTTCTTCCATCACGTTTAGTGAAGTAACTCCTTACAAGAAAAACAATGGTACGAATGGCTAAAAAAATTCAGCCTAAATGAAACTACTTATATGTAATATCAAATCAGGTATAACCAAAATCATTGGTTTATTGTGGCTTTGTATAACCAAAATCATTGGTTTATTGTGGCTTTGTATAACCATTGAGATGTGTTAGTACCTGAAAATCCACATACAACTTTCACAGCTTTCTTTTTCTTTCTTTCATGAACTTCCAACTTGAATACAACATTAGTGCTTTGCTGCAGATTAACATGTAAATAAAATTGAAGCTTTAGTTCACTATATTAAAAAATTAATTTATTGAATTTCATTCGTCAAACTTGATTGAATAATATAATTTAATTCCCCTTTTTCATGTTGAATTATAATTGAAAATTAAATTGTTCTTTCTTCTATTAAAGATAAAAAAAAAACATGTTTTTCAAAATTATTGGGGGAGAGTGAAGAGAGATGGTGTAAAGGAACGTGAATGTATTATCCTTGCCTGCCCCCAATAATTTGCCTCTCCAAATGTACTGTCATGTGTGTATTTATATACATCTGATTTTTTCTTATCTTTAGCTAGCGAATATAAAAACGATTAAGACAAAACGATTAAAGAGAAGAAAGTATTCACAATTTCGTTGAAGCTAGAAAATAACATATTCAGTTTGATGTAATTATTTCAAGATTCAAGACTTATAAATACTATTAGAGTCTTTCTACGTAAAGATATATTTTTTTTGTCTTTAAATTGTCAAATATCCAAATTTTGTCAAGCCCACAAGAAGAGAAGAGAAAAAATCTGACAGTTTCGTAGAAAGCTATAGGAAACGATATATCGTTGAGGAACCTCAAACTGAAAAAGTCCATAAATTCGTCGTAATTTCCATGCAAAAACTGACTAACAAAAGCGATATTGTCAACGTCGTATGGGCCAACTATATGATCGGTCCAGTAAGCCCATGTACCTTTTTAGCTAGCGAAAAGTAGGATAGTCTAGATAATTTTTGTTTTTTTTCGCCAGTCTAGATAATTTTCTATATTATAAATTTTTCTTTTCTGTTCCTAACATAAGTTCCATGTAAAATGCAGAATCACGATTTAACGCTAAAACCATGTTCTAGCGACGAAATTATCGAATTGCATTTTGATAGTAAAACTTGTGTTGCTCTAGTTTCACACTGATGGCTATACCCGGACAGTAAGCTTTCCTGTTTTATTTTAGAATTTTAGGTAATAAAAGGTTGTGAATGTCATGAGCTTGGGACAGCTTATATTTATATCGATTTTCATAAAAAAAAAACTAAAAACGATATCTTTATATCAAAAAAGGAAAAATCACATTTTTAACCTTCAAAGTGTCATTGGGTAGTACTTTAAATCTCGAAAGAATTTCACTAACACTATAAACCACCAAAATAATTTCACTAACACTTTAAACCTCCACACTAGCTTTCATGTTTGCACATCCATAAAATATGATGGAATAATTAATTTATGTTGGTTTCATATAAATTTAATTAATTTAATTTAAATTTTAATTAATTTTTTATTTATTATGATTTTACGATTATTAAGAAAAGTAAAAAAAAATAGTAGATTCCTCCAATACGGAGACTACTTCGTTTTTTGACTAAACTTCGATATTCTTTGATTTTTATTATTCTATTTAAGCTTCTTTTGTACCTCATATTCTACATTATTTAGTTTCTATTATTATACTATAAACTTCTTTTGTGCTTAAGTCTATAGTTTCAGAGGTTTAATTTTGAAATTTTATGGTCGAACGGTGAGTAAAAAATGAAGGTGCAATTTTTTTTGTGTGTCTTTTTAGACTTTTATTAATTGTGATAAATAATAAAATTAATTTAAATTTAAATTAAATTAAATAAATAAATATTAAACAAAAAGAAACTAAATTTTCTATCATTTTTTATGGCGGAACAAACAGAGAAGCCAGTTTGGAGGTTTAAAGTGTTAGTAAAATTATTTTGCTGGTTTATAGTGTTAGTGAAATACTTTCGAGGTTTAAAGTGTTACTCAGCAACACTTTGAAGGTTAAAACAAAACGATATTATCACTCGACTAAACACAATTGGAGGACCAAATCTTAAGGTTAACAAAACCAATACATTGCCAATATGTAATTAAACCACAACAGATAAGGAGACAAACTTTATTCTAAGAAAAAGAGATGAAATTCTACTTATTTTTTCTAGTCCATAGAGCTCAAACTAATCACCACCTCAGATTGGTTCCTTTAGAAGAAATCTAATAGACGAGAAAAAAATATGCTGGACCTTTATTCTTGATAAGTCTCTTTTTCTTTGTCAAAAATTTCAGAGCTTATTTTTGACATTCCTCCCTTTCTTTTGCAACCGAGCATGCTCAAAAATATGCTGGACCTTTGTATCCACTCGCTTTGTTTGATTTTAAGGATTCATAGGGATTCCCCGTATTGTTTGATAGTGATTGAGACAGATTCTCCGAACTTCTTGATCGTGAGTGAGAGGGATCCCAAGAACTGGTTGGTGGGTTGGAGTAAGCGTACGCCATACTGCTTGATAGTCTGGATTGAGATAGATCCGTCGCACTGCTTGACCGTGAGAAGCTAGAGCGATTCCGCGTACTGCTTGAGCCAAACTCTGTTGTCTTGAAACTTGAAGTGGATCCTCTGGAACCTGTTGTTCCCGCTAGTGATGTTCCCCCTTCTGCATTAGATAGATCTTTAAGGTTAACAAAAAATGAAAGAAAGAATGCCAATATGTAATAAACATATTTTTTCGATGTTGATACAATCATACAAGCACCCGAGTTTTGTGATGTACCTTTTTTCGATGTTGGCCCATTTGAGCTACCGGCAAAGGGATATAAGATATTACCAAATGCATCCTTATATATATGATATTTTCCATCTGGACCTATTCTTTTTTCCGGAACGAAGAGCACAGCATTTTGGTTTTCACGTTTGCCTCCGAATTCCTGATTGACCTGAGGTTGTTGCTTGTTAAAACCAAACATATTTCCAAAAAATCCTGCTTCTTGATTTTTCTTCTTCACTACTTGATCAGGTTGTCGCTTCTTCACACCATGGTTCGGTGCAACATAGCCTCCTTTTTGTTGCGGCTGGAGGATTTTTTTCACATTTTGTCTATCCATCAATCCACGCGCCTGTGCATCTCCATAGATTGGCAGCTGATTTGCTTGCTCAATCCCGTGTTGTTGGTTAAAAGGTCCATGCGCTTGCGCATACACACCATAAGCTGGTTCTTTCTGATTCTCTAAGAGCCAATCGTCGTAAAATACCGGCTGCTTTGCTTGGTTAATATCTTGTTGTTTTCTAAAACGATCATGCTGAGGCGCAGCCACACCACCGTAGGCGTATCCGTGCATCTTTTTCTTTCCTATATCTTGCCCCGGTTGCAACTTCGAGCTACCGACATCGGATTGCTTTTTTGGCTCTGCTTCTACATCTTGTCCATGCGGTATTATCTTAACATGTCTATCTATGTCCTTTAGTTGCATCGTCATGAGCAATTGATTAAATTCTCCTCCCTTAACCCTTAGATAAAAATCATTCTCGACCTCTACCGAAGTAACTCCTAACAATAACAAACACATATGGGTTAATGCTTTAATTTCTTAAACAACTAAATAGATTGAATTCTTTATAGAAACTGAATATCCTACGTACCGTCATTGATTTATTTTGTTTAAATAACTTAGCCATAAATTCTGTTCAAAAAAAAAAAAAACATAGGCACAGATTTTTGTTGATGTACCTGGAAACTCCCAAATAACTTCCATAGCTTTCGGTATGATACGTTCATCAAGAACTCTAAACTCGAATACAACTACAACTAGCTCCTGCAAATTAGCAGTTCATGGTATAAGTAATAATTTTATTTTATACATATGTATGCACTTTATATTTCTACAGTAGATTATAATATATAACCATTGAAATTTTAATTCCTTCAAAAAATAATCTGAAAATTGAAAAAAATAATTAACCTGCGTTTCTGGAGTGTTAAAATAATTGTAGACTGTAGCCAAAACCGGAATTTGATTGTTTTCCGATTTTTTCGTTGGATTGATGAAGTCAACAGATTCATCTATCTCATAATATAGTATCTTCCCCATTTCAGTCTGATCAAAATTCCCCCTCACCTTTAGTATACCTTTTTCCTTGATGTCTACAAATGTAACTCCTAACAACAACAAATATTATTGCCTTCAGTATTTCAAGCTTAGATATATTAAATTACGTATTGATTTATTTGGTTTTATTAATAAAACAATATATTTGTTTTGGTGTACCTGGAAACATCCAGACAATTTTCATTGTGTTCCTTTTAATGTTTTCATCAGAAACATCCAACTTGAATTCAGCTGTTTCCTCCTGCAATTTAACAGTTCATAGTTTTACGTAAATATATATATATATACAAATATTTCCTTGTATGTGTCTGCAGAAATCTTACCATTAAAACCATAGAAATTTAATTTGCTCAAAACTAATCTGGAAAAAAAAAACGAACCTGCATTCTCGGAATGTTATAAAGATTGGACATTGGAGAGTGAAGAGAGAAAACGTAAAGGAATGTGATTGGAACCTCGCAGCTTGCAAAATAACCCTTTGCTTCCCCTGATATTTATACGATTATTTTGTTTGTAACTAGTGAATATAGTATTGATTAGGTCCAGCCACTAGCACTATAAAAGAAAATAGTCAATTTTGCACATCAAGACCAACAAACAATTTGAGTCTTTCTATATAATAGATGGTAGAATATAAACAAGTTGAGTCTAGTTTAGTCTTTCTAAATAATAGATGGTTATAGACTATGGGCTCTTACTTTAGTGGCTTCAGCTAACACCGTGTTATATATAGTAAATATGCGATATATATTTGTTTTTACTGGTTAATACGAAAGAACCTCACTTTGTCTTGGAATTTGGCTAGGAAATGAAATATGCAATTTGTTATAATAAAAGTCAGAAAAATAAAAACATTCGAGATGTTTTATACATTGGATAGTTGAAGGGAAATTTTAAGGAAGGTGCAAAAGGAATTCCAAGAAAATTAAAACAGCTTAAGACAGAAGATTATGTTATCTATCTATATCGATCTTTATAAACTGGATTCATATAGATATTCGCGCAAATACTTATGTTACTCTAATTTTTCATAGTCTGATATAGATCAACGTATACGATCATAAAAAGAAGAGGAGAAAACTAAGCTATACGATCATAAAAAGAAGAGGAGAAAACTAATCTAAGGCCCAATCTCTTTATACGGAATATGGTTAGACATATAAGATTTATTGAATATTCATGAAACCGGTGTGTGAACCCTATGTGTGTCGGTAGAATGTCCATTGTCCAATTTCTATATTTCTATAGACCCTTTTTGCCGGTAGAATGTCCAATAGACCGGTTCGCGTTGCTTTTTATTGCTTCACAAGAGTTTCTAGAAACTTTCCACTACTTGCATCTTTTTACAACATTTTCATCTTCCCGCTTTGCATTGTAATATTCAAATAATGTCCTTTGAGGAAAGTAGCCAGATGAAGAGAGGTATTATTAACAAAAATAAAAATAATTATGACAGACATAATTGACGATTGGTTACAACCAGTGTTCAAGAAAGCGCTAGGCGCTAAGCGGGCGGTGACCCAGTGCCTAGCGCCTAGAACGCCTAATCGGGGCCTAGGCGATTTTTTAGGCGGTTTAGACGTTTATAACATAATACATTATAAATATGATATTATATATAAAAGTTATATAAAATATCAATATAAAACTAAAAATTATGAAATTATAAACAAAAACTAGATAAAATATTTATTTATATTTATATTAAATAATATATAAATATTTATAACTATATATATAAATAAAACTCTAATTGAAATTGAAAAAATACATTAAAACAAGATCTATGTAATTTTAGGCGGTCAAGGCGGTTATCTAGGCGTCGAATCAGAGCCTAGCGCCTAGTCGGGGCCTAGGCGACCGCCTAGACCGCTTACAACATAATGGACGATTCCTTTCAATGAGTTTTTACCAATTTCAAAACAAAATTTGAAATTCCATTAATGAATTCACGTAATTACACTTAGCTAATACACTAATGCCATTAACAAAACTTTTTGATTTAGTTAATTAAATTCTCAATAAATGATTATAATGATATATATAAGCTTAAGGTTAACAAAAACGATATCACTCCATCCAAACACAAATTGAATGATCAAATCTTAAGGTTAACAAAAACAATAGAATGCAAATATGTAATAAACACCACAACAAATAAGGATACAAACTTTTTAGTTTAGAAGATGAGATGAAATTATAGTCCAGAACACATGATTGTCCAAGGAGCTCAACTGTCCTATAGTAAAATCCCATCTATACTGAAAATTCGACACACGATTCAGTACTTTCGACTTAGATTAGAGAATCTATTAGATAATTAATAGAATCATCTGTCCTTCCTTGCGTTGTAGATTAAGTTCCCTTTCGTGTTGAATACTGGTTTCTTGTGGTTCCACTCGATTGTGAGGACATCATCTGACTGTTTTGTGTTTTGGATTGAAAGGGATTCATAGTGCTTAAACCCGTAATTAGTGATGAGGTTAAACTTTGTGTTTCTCCTTCTGCATGAGATGGTTTAAACACAAATAACTAAGGTTAAAAAAACAATATAATATACTGAAATTTACCTAGTTTGACCCAAATCTTGGGAAAAATAACTAGATTAACACCCAAATATTGTGGTTTACTAGAATAACACAAATTTTGTGTTAAAAGACCAAATACCCATTTTATTTTCAATTCTATTAAAATAAACTAATTAACATATAATCATTTAACTAAATAAAAAATTAGAAAAAAATACCAAACGAAAAAAATATATATATATATATATAAATATAAATATATATATAAAACGAAAAAAATAGAAAACGAAAAAAAAAATTAAGAAAAAAAAATATATATATATATATAAAACGAAAAAAATACAAAACAAAAAAAATTTAAATTTAAAAAAAATTATATATATAAGGAAAAAATATAAAACAAAAAAAATTAAAAAAATATAAAATGAAATAAAAAATACAAAACGAAAAAAATAGAAGATGAGATGGCATTCTAGTCAAGACATGATTAGTCCATGGAGCTCAAACCAATCATACCTCAAGTTTATCCTATTAGAGGAAATCTAATCAACCAGACAGAAAATACACCTGAGTTCTGTGTTTGTACCTTTTTTTGATGTACTTGCGGTAGACTGTGGTTTTGGGATTTCACAGACGTGTTTTACCTTTTGAGGTTGTTGCTTCTTACCAAAGTATCCAAATAATCCTCCTCCTTGCTCCTGATGCTTGACTTCAGGTTTTGGCTTTTTCCCCCAATTGATCTCAGCAAGCTGATTCGGGTTTGGTTTATACATAAAGTTACGTACACCCGCAGCAACAGCGTTGAGGATTGGCTGCTGTGGTATAATTAATTGATCATGGTTAAAACTTTTTCCACGCCCACGCGCATACGTAGGCTCAGGCGGAGGCGGAGGCGCAGGCTTAGGCGCACGGAAAGCTGATAGAGCATCCTTGATCTTAGAATTTGTACCATATGAGGTTGCATTATTGGGTGCCTCTACATCTGGTCCAGCCTTGATGATAAAGCTAACAGATTCATCTATGTCCTTGAGTTTCGCTGCCATTACAATTTTACTAAATTCTCCTCCATTCACCTCTAGTTGATTGTCATCTCCCTTGACCTCTACGGAAGTAACTCCTAATAACAAAAACACACATTAAGAGCATCTCCAACAATAGTGTCTTTAGGAATGTCTCAAGATTAAAAAAATAAAAAATAATAAAAAAAGTAGGAGAAAGGGTAGACACGTTTCTTTTTTTATAATTTATAATTTAAATAAATAATTTATTTATTATAAAATGATTAAAATAATATTTTTGAGACACCCACACAGTGTCTGATGGATGGAGATGGTCTAATGCCTTACTTCTTCTAGCCTAAACATATTAAAATCATGTAAATAATTATCTTACTATCAATCTATCATTGATTTATTTGGTTTTATATAACCATGGATTTGTGTTGGTGTACCTGGAAACTCCCATATAACTTCCATAGCATCCCGTACGATGCGCTCATTAAGAACTTTAAACTTGAATACAAGTATCTCCTGCAAAATAGTAATTCATGGTATAAGTAATAAGTTTATTAAATCTAGAATCTATAATTCCTACGGTAAAACTTGATAATAAAGATCCATTAAAATTTTGATTTCTTTAAAAAAACGAACCTGCATTTTTGGAGTGGTAAGATAATTGTAGACGGTACTCAAACCCGGAATATGATTTTGCCCTGCTTTTCTCGTTGGGTTGATTATGTCAACAGAGTTATATATCTCTTGTAGATTTCTCCCCAATTCCATCTTATCAAATTTTCCCTTCACCTTTAGTATACCTTTTTCCTTGATGTCTACGAAAGTAACTCCTAACAACAACAAATATTATTGCTTCAATATTTCAAGCTTAAATATATTAAATTACGTATTGCTTTATTTAGTTTCATTAATACTACAACCATAGATTTGTGTTGGTGTACCTGAAAACATCCAGACAATTTTCATAGCTTCCCGTTTGATCTTTTCATCAGAAACATCCATCTTGAATTCAACTGTCTCCTCCTGCAAATTACCAGTTTATTGGTATAAGCAATAATTATATACATATAAATATTAGCGTGTATATTTCTACAGAATTCCTACCGTAAATAATATAAAACTTAACCATTGAAATTTTAATTGCTTAAACTGTTGTGAAAATGGGAAAACACGAACCTGCATTTTGGGAATGTTAAAAAAGATTGGAAAGTGAAGAGAGATAAACGCAGAGGAATATGATTGCAATAACCATTTGCTTCCCCGTATATTTATGCGATATTTTGTTTGTAACTAGTGAATATAGTAATGACTAGGTCCAGTCACTTGAACGTAACTATAACAGAAAATAGTCAATTTTGTACAACAAGACCAATACAAACAATTTGAGTCTTTCTAAATAATAAACATATGGTAGAATCAAAACATGTTGAGTCTAGTTTAGTCTTTCTAAATAATAGATGATTAGAAGGTGGCCTGGTCTCTTACTTTAGTAGAATCAAAACAGCGTGTTGTGTTATACATTATCTTTTTGTCCTTATCGCTATAATATAAGAAAGAACATCACAATTTCTTAGAAGCTAGGAAATGAAATGCCAAATTTTTCATAATTAAATTTCAAAAAAAAAAAAACATTAAAGCATAGAGTCATAGACATGTTTTGTATAGTGTGGATTAGCTGAAAAAAGAATTTAAGGGAGGTGGAAAAGGATTCCCAAGAAAATTAAAACAGCATAAAATACAGTATAGAAGATAAATTAGGATGTTCTATAAATCGATTTTGATAAAATGGACTCATATCATATATATTTTTGCGCAAATACTTGTGTTTCTCAGATTTCTCATGGATATAGATCATATAAACAAAAGGATTGAGAAAAACAAGGCCCAATTTCTTTGTTCAGTTTCTCCGACCAAGTTTGGGAGGCAACATTCCACCGCCTTGTTACTATTGCATATAACTTGCTTGCTGGCTTTTCAGGCAACAATATATTATTTTTGGAGAAAACTAATGAGAGACGGCACAACCGCATGAACCAGCCAAAAATCTCACCTTATTCGCATCATCGAAAAATCGATCCATAATAGAGTGGTTTATTTTTGTTATCAGGATAGTCTACGTTTCATCGGCGTTCTCTAACGCTTGTTTTGTGCACAAGGGTTCAGTTAAAATGACGTTCCAACTTTGATTTTTTTATATTCTTTGACTTCTCCAAAAAACTTCATCTTTATTACATAACAAATATATATGTAACAGCATTTTAGATACTCTTCTATGTATGTATTAAACCTAAAGGTTCGGTTTGTTGGTTCAACATGGTGGTAATGTTTTTTTGAGTTTCGCCTAAATGAATATTTCACATTTGTCTTTACTAATTTTTCACTTTGGGATTAGGTTCAGATTAATTAGTCTTTGTTACTCATAATTTACATATCCTAATCTTTCATGCCAAAAATTTGAGGACTCGACCACATAATCAACTTGTTTTTTATTTATTGCAACAATGGAAGCATATACATCACTTTTCTTGAGAATTGTCATTATAAATCAATCCTCATTTCACTACAAAGTTCACGAGAAGGTCTCCAGCGGTGTAATAGTGGATTTTGACAATTAGTCAATTTTGGAAAGTTTTATTAGCTTTTCAATCTAGCCATTTTTTACACGCATATCTCATTGTATTTAACTTTGATTTTGACATGTAAATAAGCTATCTTATAATGATACATTACAAACTAAGGAATTCAATGACTCCAAAATATCCCGTCATTCCGGTGACTGATTTCATGGACAAAGTCGCCGGGAAATTGGTCGAAAGCACCTAGTCCAAATTGAAGTTTTTACAGGCACTTGAAGACGCCTGTGCGCATAAGCAGACACAGGCTCAGGAGCAGGAGCAGGAGCAGGAGCAGGAGCAGGAGCAGGCGGAGGCGCAGGGGCAGGCACACGAACAGGTACAGGGGCAGGAACACGTAAAGTTGTTCGCAGAGAGTTGGTGTTAAAGTTTGTCACATCAACTTGTCCATCTGGTCCAGCCTTGATAAAAACGCTAACAGATTCATCTATGCCCTTTAGCTTCGTCGACATTGCGATTTTGTTAAATTCTCCTCCCTTCACCTCTAGTCGATCAACTCTCTTCACCTCAACCGAAGTAATTCCTAATAACCAAAAAACAGTAACGCTTTATTAAAAAACTAAATAGATTAAAATTTCGTAAACAGAATAACGAGCCATAATTCATTCAGTTGGTTTAATATAACCATAGGTTTGTCGTTTGTGTTGGTGGTGTACCTGAAAACTCCCAGATAACTTCCATAGCATCACGTTTCAGTTTTTCATCAAGAACTTTAAACTTGAATACAACTACCTCCTGCAAAATTGCAGTTCATGGTACAAGTAACAATTTTATTAAATCCAAATATGAACCATTAAATGTTTAATTGCTTAAAAATAATCTGAAAATTTGAAAAAACGAACCTGTATTTTTGGGGTAAAATAACTGTAGACTGTAGTTAAACTCGGAATGCGATATTGCCCCGGTTTTCCCAATGGGTTGATTATGTCAACAGTTTTATCTAGCTCATGTAGTTTCCTCCCAATTTCAATCTTATCAAATTTTCCCCTGACCTTTAGTATACCTTTTTCCTTGATGTCTACGAAAGTAACTCCTAATAACAACAAACATTATTGCTTCATTTTTCTTAGCCTAAATATATGAAATTACTTATTGATTTATTTGGTTTCACTAACACAACCATAGATTTGTGTTGGTGTACCTGAAAACATCCAGACAATTTTCATAGCCTCCCGTTTGATGTTTTCATCAGAAACATCCATCTTGAATTCAACTGTCTCCTCCTGCAAATTATTAGCAGTTCATTGTATAAGCCATAACTATATTAAAAATCCTACCGTAGATGATATTAAACCATTGAAATTTAATTGCTTAAAACTAATCTAAGAAACTGAAAAAAAAAAGAAAAGAAAAAAAAAAGTAAACCGGCATTTTTGGATTCTTAAAAAGATTGGAGAGTGAAGGAATATGGTTGTAACTTCGCAGATTGCACATTAGTAACCCTTTGCTTCCCCATTTTATACAATGTTTTGTTTGTAACTAGTGAATATAGTAATGATTAATTAGGTCCAACCATAGTCCATAGGGAATTATAAAACAAAATAGTCATTTTTTTACATTGAGACCAATACAAACAGTTTTGAGTCTTTTTGTATAATAAGAAAGGACTAAAGGTAGAATGAAACAAGTTGAATCAAGTTAAAGTCTTTCTAAATGAATGAATATTATCAAAAGAAAGTTTTTCTAAATAATAGAATTGAAGGTGGCATGGTCTCTTACTTTAGTGGCTTCAACTAATACCGTGTTATAGTAAAATATATATACGATATTGTTTTTTCGTTAACTCTATAATATAATTAAGAAACTATTAAACTGAAGACGTAAAGAATATACGAAAGAACCTCAAAGTTTCTTCGAAGAACATCAATTCCATATGTGTATTCGGTCCACCCAGCAGACAATAATGGTCTTCAGACATCGACTCTTTCATTTACTAACTCTATAAAAAAGATTAAATATTTAGAAGAAGAAAAAAACATTCATTCTTTTTGGATAAAATATTTTCTCTAAATTTATGTGAATTTATTGGTACCACATGTATTGATTAACAAATAATTTTTTACTACACAATTTCATCCTTTTGATTATTCAGATATTCGTCGATGCAACAGTTTCAATTCTATTACTAGTACTAGTTGTTGATGAAGATCTATAAATACATGCTTTGGTGAATCACAAAGTCACAATTATTCTCTATGTATTTCCATGAATTTACTAACAATAAACGGTGATGAATATCATGAAAATATAAGTTATGATGATCCTAATGTAACAGAAGTTAGTAGCTCTAACGAATCTTCTAAACTATATTTGTATTTATTATTTAAGAAAACCGACAGAAATACAGGGCTTAATGAATTTTATTGTATGTCGCAAAAAACAAAGTCTATTAAGAAGAAACACTTGTGATATAATAATATGACGGCTCAATGATGAGTTCAATTGGCTAGATTATTGACGATATATACTAGAAACGAATTAGAAGGAATAAGTGTGGTTATCTTGGAACGAAGTTGAATGATAACAATACTATATCAATTGACTAACTTTTTACTTTTTTAGACACTTTGGCCAGGATTAATTTGAGCATTTAGTTGCTGGTGATAAGAATTAAGTGTTGCTTATGAAATACGATCAAATGTGACTTTTTTTTTTTTTTTTTTCGAAAGAATGTAAAATTTATTCAATCAGAAAACCGGTGTTACAACAAGTGCATCAGTTTCGAGTTAATTGAAGACTCTGTTTTAAAATACAAGCTTAAGTTTGAGTAGAAAACCAAAACATGAGAAGCTCTGCATACTTTTCGTTCCCCGAGCAGCGAAGAAGTGTGATCTTGTTCCAAATGTGACTCTTTTACTTAACATAGAAAATTCAGAAGACAGATTTGTTTATGTTGTTGTCAATTGGATGATCAAAACTTAAGGTTAACAAAAGATGGTAGAATGCCAATATGAATATAAGCACCACATAATTATTACATATAACGGACAAACATTTTTTTCAGAAAATGAGATGAAATATTACTAGAATACAATGGTCCATGGAAACCAAACCGATCACGACTTCAAATCGATTACTTAAAGAAACCCAAATTCCAACCACGGTAAGATGGTGCTTTCTTCACTTTTGGTTCAGGCTTTTTAACCACCTTCTGATTTTTCGCTGGTTCTCCATCCGGTCCAACCGCGATAATGTCAACAAATTCATATACCTTCTTCAGTTTCTTTGTCATTTCAAACTTATCAAACTCTCCATTCACCTTTAGTTTACCTTTTTCCTTCACGTCTATCAAAGTAACTCCTAACAACAACAAACATTATTGCTTAAATATTTGTATCAAAGCCTAAATAGATTAAATTACTTATATATAAACATTGATTTGTACATATTATATTATTATACCTGGAAAGTCACATACAACTTTCATAGCTCTCCGTTTGATTCTTTCCTCAAAAACTTCCAACTTGAATACCACTTTCTCCTGCAAAGATTTGAATTTGAAGCTTTAGACAGTTCTTTGTGTATAAGTAGTAACTTTTGTTTTCTGAAAATATAAAGTAACTAAAAGAAAAGACGTACCGGCATTTTCGGAAAATATAGAAAGCTTGATGATTGGAGAGGGATGATATGTAAATTAATACTAATTCAAACTCGTATTTTTCTCATAAACCTTTGTTTCCCCCCATATATATACACACATATCTTTTGTCTTGAATTTGCGAATATGAAATGATTTTTTTTTTTTTTTTTTTGAATGAATGTAAAATTTATTCATCAAAAAAACCAGTGTTACATCAAGTGCTTCAGTTTTGAAGGTGATAGATTTGGCATTTGTTTACAAACTTAAGTTCGAGTAGAGAACCAAATAATGAGGAGGTCTTGGTACTTCTGATTCCCCGAGCAGCGGAGGAGAGAGATCTTGTTCCGAATGGTTTTCTCTATCATTTGGCCAAGGCGAGGAGCTGGGATGTGGTCTTCACCGTGTCTACGATTGTTGCGTTCTCTCCATATGGAGTGAACCGTGGCTTGAAACGAGTATCTTAGGAGCAACAAGTAGCGTTTTTCAAGAGCAGTGCCGGAGATTAACGATCTAAGTAGTTCCCAATCTGATGTGAAGTGGTTCCCAAGGAGCCCTTTAGTAAGTGTTTTCCAAATCTGATGTGAGTAGCTGCAGTTAAAGAAAATGTGATTCCTTGACTCCACCGGGTTTTGACAGAAAACACAAGAAGTGTCTGCCCCTTGATTCCATTTCAACATCCGGTCGCCCGTAGGAAGTCTATTATGCATTCCTAACCAAGTTATGAACGCAAACTTTGGTGTGGCTTGCGAAAACCACACGGCTTTTGCCCATTCACAAGCAGGTTTCTCGGTTCGAATAAGTCTCCACGTTTCACATGTTATGAACTTGCGTTTGAAACCAGCCCGACACTTCCATAGGTGAACATCATCAACCTCATTTCTCTGTTTCGATTTTGCTCCTTCAATCTCTGCTTCAAGAAATGATTAAGTCAAGCCATCGAAGGTAGAAACTAAAATAGTCAATTTGGTACGCCTCTTTAGTTTAGTACTTTAATTAGTAGCTTCAACTGATACGGTGTTATAATTATGCATATACGTGAGATCTTTTGTCTTTTATTATCTCGTCTATATAAGATAACAAGAGCGATTAAATCAATCTTCTGATGGTATAATAAAGAACTACTCAACCTCGTCAAAGATAGGAATCAAATATCTATTTAGTATATATAATTCATGATTTAATCGTTGTGTTGTTAATTGTTATATATGCATGATAAACAATTAGAATGGTTCAATAGAAACTTGAAAGGAGGTGAATAAACTCAACACTGTAAAGGATTGCCACCAAATTAAACAAAAAAATGTATAGATTATAGAAGATGTGGGTGTATTATGAATCGATTGAAACAAACTCTATTTGCAAAAATTAATTTCGGAAAAACTTGTGTTCATCTAGTTTTTTACGTCGTGGGGGACATACGTACACGTACAATAATTCTATCAAATTATGTTATCTACGGCTGCTACCATGTTTACAAATGTTCTTTGTATTTGTAAAATATAGATTTTGTTATTACGCATGTTTCAGCTTCAGATTATTAGTAAACCTTAACATATATTCATTAATAAGAAAATTTGTGAAAGTATGAGGAATCACAACGTTCTAATATGAAAAATAAAACTCATCTAATTAGAATTTAGATGCTGTCTATTTAATATGGTGATTATATTGGTAATGATGATAATGGAATGTTTTGAACGAGTGTTGAGTGAAATGTCCCATAAGCTATATGGGCGAGCTGGTTCTTATCTAGTATATATAAACCAATCTCAAACCAAAAAAAATCACGCCACCACTTGGAAAGAGAAGCGTTGGTGATTGCGCTAACATTAAGACAAAAACTACTTTGTAACTGCTTCCCGGCATTACTAGTTATTGGGCTTCCTCTCGCTTTTTCCGATTTGGCCCAATAGTCAAAAAAGCCCAGATTTGAGATTAATATTACAAAAACTACTAAACAAAATTTAATTAAGACTAGTAGTACCGTAAACGAAAATAACTACTAAACGAAAATAGATGGACATATTGATGTTTCATAATGGGCTAAATATACCCATTTGCCCATTAGTTCAAACTTTAAAGGCTCCACAATCCATAAAATTTGGACAATTAGAAAGAAAAAAACTTTACCTAAACCCAAATAAAAAACAATCAGAAAAAAAAAAAAAGACCTTTTTTGGGTATAAACGGATACAAAACATAAATGGAAATTTTTATTACAAAGTTCCAAATACGTGGCACGTTATATTAGGTCACAAGGCTATTTTGCCGACCTCAAAAACGATCACAAGAATAGTTTCTTTCATCACATAAAAACTCTAGCTTATAAAAATACATTTTTATATATATTTAATAAATCTCTCTGCCGTCTTCTTTCTCATAAGCCACATTTTTCTCTCCTTTCTCTTCTACACAGCTTTTTAAAACCCAACAGAGCAAATAAAGCAAAGAAACAAATTTGTTCATGGTCTCTAGAAATCCGAATCCTTCTGACGGATATTTCTTGGATCCGACTAGTATGAATGTTCCAGGTCTCGGACCTTCCTTTACCGCCGCCGTTTCTTCTTCACCGACGACTTCTTCTACCGCCGTGACTGTGGCGGATGCGACGGCGATGGTTTCTTCTTCGGAGGAGGATTTAAGTAAGAAGATTAGGAAGCCTTATACTATTACTAAGTCTAGAGAGAGCTGGACTGAGCCTGAGCATGATAAATTCCTTGAAGCTCTTCAATTGTGAGTTTTTAATCATTTTTAGCTTTGACATTTCTCGTTAATGGTTATGATTCTCTTTGGGATTTAGCTATTTTGAGATTCGATTTGGGGAGGATTAGCTTCAATTTTTGGTTAATTAGGGTTTAATTGGGATAATGTGCAATTTAGGTTTCAATAGATTCTGAATTGTAATGTATTGAACCATTGGAATTAGATTGCTCTTGGGATATAGAATTGGAATTGAGAGTTGGACTAGTGCAGATAGATTTGTCTATGTATTCACATTTTATTGAATTAGACGTTTGATAAGTATTGAGAAGATCAAGATGTCGAAAAATGAGTATGACTGTCTTGAAATTGTGTAATAGCTATTGAGGAAGCAGCGATGGAAATTATTTGTGTAGGTGAAGAGGGTTCAATGAGATGCTTTTTGTCTTTCTTGTATCAGTCTATGAACAATGGTAAGGGAGTAATTGAAGTACTAAGGTTGATATATAGTGGGAAAGGTCTTGGAGTAGTTCTAGTGGAGGCTATGATTGTACTGTTCATTGTTAATTCCACTGTGTATTGTAATGCGTACAATCTTAGGTAAGGATTAGATATCTCCTATATTCAGGTTTCTGGTGGTTGATCTGATATCTCTTGTGCTTGTGTTTTATCATTTTAGGTTTGATAGAGATTGGAAGAAGATTGAAGCTTTTATTGGGTCAAAGACAGTGATTCAGGTACAGTAAAAAGAAGAAATATCTTCTGAGTTACTTTGTTTTTTCGCCTACTCTAGTTGTTTAATTCTGTCATTTTTCTTTTGGGCCCTCAGTGTTACTATGGATTGAGGTTGTTTCTTCTCATTTGATATCTCCACAAAGTGTTCTTTTAAAACAACTTTATTGTCTGAAAATGATATTAGGAGCAAGAGCGTCACATGCTTTTGTCACTGATCACCATAAGATTTTATCAAGTGTTACCTGTAGATATTTTTGCATTAGACAAGTGAGCTTGTTGAGCTCTATTATGCCTTCTTATACGGACTCCTTTAATACCGCAGATACGAAGTCATGCTCAGAAGTATTTTCTTAAGGTACAAAAGAGTGGGACGGGTGAACATCTCCCTCCTCCTCGACCTAAAAGGAAAGCCGCTCATCCATATCCTCAGAAGGCTCACAAGAATGGTACGTTATAACTACTGCAAAAAAATTATTTGATGTTGTATTGTTGTTTACTTACTGAAAAACTATATTGATGCATTTCTTTGGCAATGTACAGTGCAACCTCAAGTACCAGGATCATTCAAGTCAACATCTGAACCAAATGACCCAAGTTTTATGTTTAGGCCCGAGTCTTCTTCAATGCTGATGACTTCTCCAACCACTGCTGCCGCGGCTCCATGGACAAATAATGCGCAAACAATTAGCTTCACGCCCCTACCAAAAGGTTCTATTCTCATCTACAAGCATTATGCAATTGTAGTACTCTCTTAATATAATCTCCTTTACAAATTTTACTAAATGAAACATATTTTTGTTCCACGTTCTGATGGAAACAGCAGGAGCAGGAGCTAATAACAATTGTTCTAGTAGTTCTGAAAATACTCCAAGACCACGATCCAACAGGGATGCAAGTGACCAGGGAAATGTTGGCCATTCATTAAGAGGTAAGCATTCTTCTCCTATATATCTTTTTGTTTGTACCATATTTACCATTTTTTACTAGACAGTTCCTCTTTCTTTGTTTCAGTTTTACCGGACTTTGCCCAAGTATACGGCTTCATTGGAAGTGTTTTTGACCCATATGCAAGTAATCATCTACAAAAGCTAAAGAAGATGGACCCCATAGATGTTGAAACAGTACGTTTCGTGTCTCTTCAGTTTTACATCAACCTTAATTGAAACCACGTCGGTCCAATGGAACAAATGGTTAAAACTAATTATTTTTTCCTTTGTTTGCCCCCACCAAACAGGTGTTACTATTGATGAGAAATCTATCCATCAACTTGTCTAGTCCTGACTTTGAGGATCATGTAAGTATTTTACTCCACAAACTCCTAGTCAATCTTAACTTGAAACCCTGTATCATAACTAACCTCAAGACACTTATTGATTTCAAAAACAACAGAGACGGCTTCTTTCGTCTTATGATATCGGATCTGAGACAGCAACTGATCATGGTGGAGTGAATAAAACCTTAAACAAAGACCCACCTGAAATCTCTACATGAAGTTTAATAGAAGAGGAGAATTATGAAAAGTGTCTCAGATGAGCCAACAACCAGATGGCTATTGAATAGAGATTCTGTTGTGAGTTTTTGTTTGTAGTTTGTACATATGAAGAAGATGAAGCTGAGATTGAGAGGGTTTAGTTATTGTTAATGGTATAAATATACGTCTTTTGGGTTAAGGATGGTATATGTACAGTGTATTATTATCATAAGTTAGATACCATTCCTTCTCGCAAATTTGTTTTTAGCTTTTGTTAAAGCATGTATCAGTCTCTTTGATGGGAGACAAATCTCTTAATAGAGTTGTCTTAGCTTTTGTTTTCATTCGTTAATAGAGGAAGAAATAAGGTGAATTTGTATACCAATATGGATAAGCTATTTTTTAGTGGCATGCTCTTGACCATAAGAAAAGATGCATCCAAAGAAAATCAATCTTCGTTGTTCAAAAAAAAAAAAAAAAAAAAAAAAAAAAGAAAATCAATCTTCTTGAACAAAAGGATTTTAATGGACTAATATATAATTTAATTTGACCATATACATATATCTTAAGACTTACACCAAAGTCCAATTATTTTTATAGAATATAAAAACATAATTAAACATCATTATTAGATATGATAAAAGAAATAATGTGGAGGGTATTCTGAGTGATCAAGAATTTCAACAGATTTCAAGATCTTCTTCAATTTCTGCAGTAATTTGTCTTGATCAATATTTTCTCCCCTTACAGCAAATACGTTTGGCATGATACCACAACATGGAGCATCAACTCCTAACAATAAAAATATGACAATCATTCACACTCTTCAAAATTTGCAAATCTAAGTAATATTATACGCATTTATAATAATCGATTTATATACAACAAATGGTTTAATTTGGTTGAATATAATCGTTGGGTGTGTAGTAGGTGTACCTGGAAAACAAGCCGCAAGTTTGAATCCTTTTCGCCATTGTTTTTCGGGACATTCTGCATACTTGAATACAATCGTCATCGACTGCAAACAATGAAATAAAACTAGAGTTTTAGTGATTCATTATATAATCACATAAAAAAAAAGTAAGATATTTTGAGGTTTACTAGGAAATATAACAAACCATTTTCTGAAAAACTAAGAAGTGTGGAAGTAGAAGAGAAGATGATGGACAAGAATGTGATTACAAACTGGCTTCCTCATCAACCTCTATATATATTACTGAAAAATGATTTTTTTTTTTGGGAAATAATCTATAAAAGTACATTTATCTCTTAATTTCACAATCTCTTCCGATATTTGTCACAATTTCTCATAACATATCTTTGACACAAAAATACATTTACCATTTTTTTCAAACAACACAAAAATATATTTATCTCTCCAAAGTATTTTTTGTTTAAATATAGAGCAAATAAATTAATAAAAGTGGAAATTATTTTAACAAGATAATTATGTAATAAAAAAATCTAGTAATTTATTTTATAGTAAACACATTTGCAGAAAAATATTAATTGATGTGCTAAAAACATCAAAAGTATATAAACCATTAATATATCTTAAATATAAATACACGACGCATGGAAGGATTGTAAGTATTGATTAGTAAATATTAAAATATAGTTATCATCAAATAAAATTTGATAAAAATATTAATTAACCTGATAAAAATATCACAACTAAATAGTAAATAATATGTCTCTTAATTCAATTCGCAAAACACACAGAATAAGTTTTTCATTTTGAGTTTATTTCTCTTATGATACTGCCAAAACTTATACTGCCCAAAAACTTCGTTCAACGTTTCAACTAATGATATATTTTGTTCCTCTCATCGTCTATTTATTCTGCAGAAACTCAAACCTAGAAATTTAACACTATGTGAACAACGATTGTATCGCTAAGTTGATTTTGAAGTTGATTTTGCATTGTCATGTATGCGTCTTGCATTTTCTTCAGCACTTTATATTTTCATGCTCATTTGAAAACCCTCTATAAGTTAATAAAATGTTTTATATATATTTAAAATTATAGAACTTAATCTTAATATTCTAATAAACTTGTCTTAGAATTTAGTGGAAACTAACCTAGATATGTAATTCTAATGGACTTCCTACAAAATCAATTCAAACCATATAATGAATTTCTATTACAAAATAATATACATAGAGCTATTTTTAAAGAATAAATAAAACAATACAACCAATGTTTACCATGATTGTTAAAAAAATAAAGGTGTATTTTTGCATCCCTAACATCACTACAAGTCATCATAATTGATTAGTAGCAAAAGATATCAACTTCACTAGATTTGTCAAATTGTTGTCTTTAGGACAAATATGTGCTGAAGTATATATTCCATACAAAAGGGATAAAAAAAGGAGTAGCATTATAAAAGATGTATACGGAGTTAGGAGTAGAAGGATGAAAAGATATATACACGAAGCAAGGAATTTTAGAATCAGAGACATAATGAATCAGAGAGATGTGAAAGACAACAAAATTCAGAAGCAAATTTGCATGTATATATTAGCGTTTTTACCTTTTTCTTTCTTAATCTTTGAAAATTGAATTAGTTGTTATTGGACTCGTTTGGAAAACCTGGAAACCCAAACCACTCAATCAAATTATAACTTTAACCCCAACACCTCCGTTCCAATGAAACTATAGACAAAAAAAGTGAAATAGAACAAATAAACCTTCAACAGACTAAAAATGCTTTCTTTCGGAGGTGGTGTGTCTTGAAATCGTCTTTAAAGACTAAAACATACTCCATGTATCAACAATTATGTATCTAATTCATTCACACATGAATGAGGCTTACATAATACTTGGTGCCTGCATCAAACTCTTTGTCAAGTTCTATAAAAAATCCATTCTTATTTATTAGCATTCTGTAACCAATACAGTATCCTCACGTGAGTGTCGTTCTCAAAAGTGAACCTTACTTGTTCTTGCTTTCCAAGTGTGCTCCAGTGCAGATTCAAATACAAACGGTTTACAATGACAAATAATTATGACGATTGGATTTAGAAAAGATAAGAATCTTCATTTTGTTGATAGAAGCATCAACTTCTTTCTGGAGTTCATGTCGCAAAACATCAACGAATATTCATATCTAAATTCAATTATTCAATAAGTCATAAATATATAAAATCAACCAAAACAGCAAATCTCAAAGTAGAAAATTTTGAATGCATGATGTCACACTACTGTCCACAAAAATAAATTGTAATTACACTGTCGTTTTAATAATCTATTCAATGACATCTAACAAGAACAATTTTAACAAGAGACATACATGAAGACATGAATCTAAGTTTACCGAGTTTGAGTGATACAAAAACGATGAGAAAGGTGGACAACCATTATGAACGGAGATATATAATTGATTCAAGCAGATTTACGTACAAGTCCAATTAAACAATTAAAATTTAGATACGAACTAATCAAGGGATTTAAAACTGAGTAACCAAAATTAATCCTCTTTAATTAAGCATTTCGGCAATTAGATTAAGCGTTTCTAAATCGTTGGATCAAATTCTGTATCAACCCCCACAACAATCAAGAAGACGAGACAAAACGAATCAACCGATGCCTGAGTAAATCTACGGCCGTTTTTAGTTTTACTATGTGACCTGCAATTGTATAGTTATAAAAAGAGGCAAAGACATTAAAACTTACCAAAGTGAGATAGATTGAAACGTGGACGGGAGTGTACATTACAGCAGAGGATCATTGCCTCAGTTTGCGCAAAATCGACTGCGTCGGAAATTGGTTTAGAGAGACTACGGCGCCGTCGTGGGAAAATGATTCAGAAAAGGGTACAAAATTAACTATTGTTTTACAGTTTCAATATGTATAAATGACGATGAAGAAGCACAGCGGAAAGTGGTGAAAACTGAGAACATGGAGATGCGATGCTTCACAAAAGAACATGAACAAAATGTTGCAATTGAAAAGACACGACTTTTGCTTTAGTTAATTTACGAGAAAAAACTACATCCCTAAGATTAAATGAAAAACTAACCTCAACCGTTAGATTAAAAAGATGACATCAGCAGACCCAAAAAAATGGGTTTGCTATTATATATAGATTCGTTAATAGAGGAAGAAATAAGGTGAATTTGTAGACCAATATGGATAAACTATTTTTTAGTGGCATGCTCTTGACCATAAGAAAATATGCATCCAAGGAAAATCAATCTTCTTGAACAAAAGGATTATAATGGACTAATATATAATTTAATTTGACCATATATATCTTAAGACTTACACCAAAGTCCAATTATTTTTATAGAATATAAAAACATAATTAAACATCATTATTTTCCCAACCAGAAAGAGAAAAATAAACATCATTATTAGATATGATAAAAAAAATAATGTGGAGGGTATTGTGAGTGATCAAGAATTTCAACAGATTTCAAGATTTTCTTCAATTTCTGCAGTAATTTGTCTTGATCAATATTTTCTCCCCTTACAGCAAATACGTTTGGCATGATACCACAACATGGAGCATCAACTCCTAAAAATAAAAAGATGACAACAATCATTCACACTGTTCAAAATTCGTAAGTCTAAGTAATATTATACGCATTTATAATAATCGATTTATATACAACAACTGGTTTGATTTGGTTGAATATAATCGTTGGGTGTGTGTAGTAGGTGTACCTGGAAAACAAGCCGCAAGTTTGAATCCTTTTCGCCATTGTTTTTCGGGACATTCTGCATACTTGAATACAATCGTCATCGACTGCAAACAATGAAATAAAACTAGAGCTTTAGTGAATTTATGATATAATCACATAAAGAGTAAAAGATTTTGTTCATAGGTTTACTAAGAAAAATAACAATAGGTTCAATAGGAAACATAACGAACCATTTTCTGAAAAACTAAAAAGTTTGGAAGGAGAAGAGAAGAAGATGATGGACAAGAATGTGATTACAAACTGGCTTCCTCATCAACCTATATATATATTACTGAAAAAATGGATTTTTTTTAGAAATAATCTATAAAAGTACATTTATCTCTTAATTTCAGAATCTCTTCCGATATATGCATGTCACAATTTCTCATAACATATCTTTGACACAAAAATACTTTTATCATTTTTTTTGACAACACAAAAATACATTTATCATTTTTCTTGACAACACAAAATTACATTTATCTCTCAAAAGTTTTTTTGTTTAAATACAGAGCAAAGAAATTAATAAAACTGGAAATTATTTTAACAAGATAACTATGTAATAAAACAGATATAGTAATTTATTTTATAGTAAACACATTGGCAGAAAAATTATTAATTGATCTAATAAAAACATCAAAAGTATATAAATATAAATACACGACGCATGGAAGGATTGTAAGGATGGTTATCATCAAATAAATTTTGATAAAAATATTAGTAATTAACCTGATAAAAAATATCACAACTAAATAATATGTCTCTTAATTCAATTCGCAAGACACACAGAAAAAGTTTTTCATTTTGAGTTTATTATTTCTCAGTCTCCTCCTCTTATGATGATACTGCCCAAAATTAAGGCCCATTAAAGGCCCAAAACAAAGCATATAAAGTCATCGTCTTCTCTGATCCTGTGAAAACCCTAGTTTTTGCTCTCTCGAAGTTCCGTCTCTGCACGAGCAAGATCTCCTACCGATACAATGGTACACACAAGCTCTTCTTTTGATCTATTTCTCTATCCTTATCATATTCTCCGGTGTGTTAGAATGTTGTTTCGTTGAATTTTAACCATTTTCTTCTTCTTTCTTTCTCGCAGATTATCTCAGAGGCTAACCGCAAAGAAATCTGCAAGTACCTTTTCAAAGGTTCGTGCTCCGTTAATTTGTACTTAGATCTTTGTTTTCTTCAGCTTCTGTGAGCGAATTGAATCATTTTTAGGGTTATGCCGTTGAACATTGTGGTTTTGGAACTAGTTTAGGTTTATGATCTTTGCCTTAGAAGATGAGCATTGTGTTGATTATCAGTTTATCTTTGGGGTTTTGCAGAAGGAGTTTGCTTTGCTAAGAAAGATTTCAATCTTGCTAAGCATCCGTTGATTGATGTCCCGAACCTGCAAGTGATTAAGCTTATGCAGAGTTTCAAATCCAAGGAGTATGTTAGGGAGACATTTGCGTGGATGCATTACTATTGGTTTTTGACCAATGAAGGAATCGAGTTCTTGAGAACTTATCTTAATCTTCCATCTGATGTTGTTCCTGCTACTTTGAAGAAGTCAGCTAAGCCTGTTGGTCGTGCATTTGGTGGTCCACCTGGTGATCGCTCAAGGTGATTAACTCTTTGCTTAACTCATTTCATGTCTGGCAAAAACTTTGTTTTTTATTTATTTTGATGATATGGTTTGGGGTTTCTTGGTATTTCAGGGGACCTCGCCATGAAGGAGGAGATCGTTCCAGGTATGGTGACCGTGATGCGTACCGTGGAGGTCCTCGTGGTGGTGGTGAATTTGGAGGTGAAAAGGGTGGAGCTCCAGCAGATTACCAGCCATCTTTCCAAGTAAATTCTCACTGACCATGCCTTTTATTTACCTCTGGCTCACAAACTTTATAAAATGTGCTACTCTTGTAGTCTTTCGCATAGAGCTCCTGAACCTGATAAACCATTAACCTTTAGTCTCTCTTTATCATTTGATTTACAAGGAACATAAATCTCTTACTTTTGCTTTGAATTGTTTTGTGTTTAACAGGGAAGTGGCCGTGGTTTTGGCCGTGGTGCTGGTGGTTACAGCGCGGCTGCACCATCTGGTTCAGGTTTGCCTTGAAAAGGATATCTCTTTAGTTGACAGTAAGACCTTGGACATGGAGGAGTTGTTTCAGCTTTGAATTTTACTTGTGTAATTCAAATTCCGGAATCTTTCATAATCTATCTGAGTTTAGTTTTGTTGTTGAAGCAAACATCCAATTTTAAGTTATGTTTTCCTCCCATCTTTTCTCTCCCATTTGAGCTTGCAAAAATAATGATTCCCTCATTGGACAAATCAAACCAGTTTTAAACGATTACAAGTTGATTTTGTGAAAATATTAACTTTTCGATCTCGTTTCGTTGAATTTATGATTATGTTTCATTGATTTTTAACTATTGGTGTTAAAAGTGATCCTTTTGCCAAGATTTGAGGTTACTTGTCCCAAGCTTCATTTTTCACCTTGTCAATACTTCTTACAGTGATGTTTAGGAAGTCAAGTCTTACTTTAGGACACCAAAGAACACTTGCATTTGTTCAGAAACAAGGAATGTTCCTTAGCCGATTCATTAACAAAAACTGGTAGAAGTATTAGACAGACGCACCAAACGAAATAACAAACCTTAAACCCAACCCTAAAATGTCCAAGTGACTCTTAACACACAAAAGACAAGACATTCTGAAAAACCTTAAAACTCAGAATAACTCGACATATTAGAAGTTTTCAGAACCATAAGATAAACTTCTTCATCTCTTAGTCGACTTCCTCCATCTTGCTCTCTTCAGCAGCGTCCTCCTCCAACTCAGGCATATCACCATCTTCCTCAACGTTCTCATCCTCATCAATGCTCAGACCCAACTTCAACATCCTGTGAATCCTAGCAGCAAACGTGTTCGGTTCATCAAGACTGAATCCAGACGTCAACAAAGCCGTCTCAAACAGCAACATGACAAGATCTTTAACAGACTTGTCATTCTTGTCTGCTTCAGCTCTTTTCCTCAGCTCCTCCATGATACCATTGTCGGGGTTAATCTCCATTGTTTTCTTGCTTGACATGTAGCCACTCATGCTGCTATCTCTCAGCGCCTGTGCCTTCATAATCCTCTCCATGTTCGCAGTCCATCCGTATTCACCAGTTACTAGACAGCAAGGAGAGTCCACAATCCTGTCTGAGACCACAACCTTCTCAACTTTGTCTCCAAGAATTTCCTTAATCGTCTTACAGAGATTCTCAAAGGATTTCTTCTTCTCTTCCCTCTTTTTCTTCTCTTCTTCAGTCTCATCTTCAAGCTTCAGTCCTTCTTTGGTTGCAGAGACAAGTTTCTTACCATCATACTCCTTCAATTGTCCAACAGCATATTCGTCAATCGCATCCACCATGTAAAGTACCTCGTAGCCTCTCTTCTTCAGCTTCTCCAAGAAGGGAGAATTCTCTACCGCCTTTTTGCTTTCACCAGTGATGTAGAAAATGTCCTTTTGACCTTCCTTCATCCTTGTGACATAATCTTTCAAGCTCGTCATTTCATCACCGCTCTTTGTTGAGTGGTACCGTAGAAGATCAGCAATCTTTGACCTGTTCTGACTGTCTTCATGGATACCCAACTTGAGATTCTTGGAGAAAGCCTCGTAGAATTTGGTGTAGTCTTCTTTGTTCTCAGCAATCTCGTTGAACATCTCAATACACTTCTTCACTAGATTCTTCCTGATCACCTTAAGAATCTTGTTCTGTTGAAGCGTCTCACGGGAGATGTTGAGTGGCAAGTCATCAGAGTCAACAACACCTTTCACAAAGCTGAGGTACTCTGGGATTAGTTCTTCACAGTTGTCCATAATGAACACCCTCCTGACATACAGCTTGATGTTGTTCAGCTTCTTCCTTGTGTCGAAGAGATCGAACGGAGCTCTCTTCGGAACAAAGAGAATGGCCTTGAATTCAAGCTGACCCTCCACAGAGAAGTGTTTCACGGCTAAGTGGTCCTCCCAGTCATTCGTCAAGCTCTTGTAGAAAGCAGCATACTCTTCCTTAGTGATCTCTTCTGGCTTCCTCAACCAAATTGGTTTCTGCTTGTTGATGAGTTCCCACTCGTGAGAGACTTCCTTGATTTTCTTCTTCTTCTTACCGTCTTTCTCCTTCTCCTCATCAATTTCTTCAACCTCACCTTCATTTTCTTTCTTTGGTTCATCTTCATCCTCATCATCACTGATCTCCTTCTCAGTGGTTTTCTCGGTCCACAGGTAAATCGGGTAACTGATGAACTCAGAGTGCTTCTTTACCAAGTCTTTGAGTCTCCTCTCCTCCAGGTATTCAAGCTGCAGGAATAAACACACTTATAAGAACACACAAAACATCAAAAGAAAAGAAACAACCCCCAAAACACTCAAAGCTATGATTCATTACCTGATCATCCTTGAGGAATAGTGTGATCTTAGTTCCTCTACCAAGTGGTTCCCCATCAACATCCCTAGTAACAGTGAAGGAACCACCAGCTTGAGACTCCCATACATACTGTTCATCATCATTGTGCTTTGTAGTGACAATAACCTTCTCTGCAACAAGGTAAGCAGAGTAGAAACCAACACCAAATTGACCTATCATGCTCACATCAGCTCCAGCTTGAAGTGCTTCCATAAACTCCTTAGTTCCAGACCTCGCAATGGTTCCCAAGTTGTTCACCAGATCTGAAAATACATTTAAGAGAGAGTCAAACCACAGCACAAACACTGACCTTGACTCCAATCAAACAAATACTAGGCAGAGATTCATTACCTGCTTTGGTCATGCCAATACCACTGTCAATAATCGAGAGCGTCTTGTTAGCCTTGTCTGGAACCAGCCTAATGAAGAGCTCAGGCTGTCCATCGAGCTTGCTCTTATCGGTCAAGCTCTCAAATCGAATCTTGTCAAGAGCCTACAAAACCATCCATATTTACAAAACATAATCAGAAGTTTTCCTCCAGAAAACCACAATCCTCACAATAGGATAAATCAAAGACTAACTCCGATCAAGAACCGTCCAACATATCTAATTACAGATCTAACTACAACATATAAGATACGAATCTATCAATTCACAGCAGGATCGAGAATCCTAAACTAACTTGATGCACAAGCCAAATCACGATCTATTAGAAAATTAAAGATAGGTATCCAAAACTAAACCTACGAATCCAACAAACACTATCAACGGATCCAAGAACAAAAGAACAAACAACATGCACGAAACTAGGTAAGCGAAAGAATCACAGAGCAGAGAGATTTAAGAGAGACTTACATCAGAAGAGTTACTGATGAGCTCACGGAGGAAAATCTCTTTGTTGCTGTAGAAAGTGTTGATGATCAAGCTAAGAAGCTGGTTAATCTCCGCTTGGAAAGCAAAAGTCTCCGCATCAGCCATCTGTACTTCCGCCATCGTAACGATCTTTGATTCAATGAAAGAGAATGCTAGAGAGATTTGGAACTTTAGAGAGCGTTTCGAGAGATTTGTGATTGTTTTCTTGATTTATGAAGAAGAGAGGAAAAAACAAAGTGAATTTATAGAGGAGAAATAAAGTTCTAGTCTCTTCTTTTGAAATAAAAGGAAAACCAGGGGATTCTGGATTGTTCGTTGAAACGACGCCGTATTTCGATGAAATCAACCGTTTTTGGCTTTGTGACCAACGAATTCCAGAAACTTCTTTTCGTTTCCAGACTCCACTTCTTTCAAATCCGAGTCAGTCTCTGGTTAAGAAATTTCTCCGGTTCAGTGTGAATTGAACCCGGTTCAATATCTTTACTTAATAATATACTTAAATCAAATTAAATAAAATTGGTTTGAAATTAATAAACTCAGTTAAACATCATCTTACTTATATTATTTCTCATCACTACAAACTACAGATTCAATGATTTAGTAAATAGTCTGAGTGAACCAAGTCAAATTTAATTTAGCACAACTTAAGAAGAAAAATGGTATAATTAGTGCAATGCATGGTTATTTGAATGGAACACATTCATTAGTTCCTGATATAAACATACATTACTTGATTATGTAACTACTAACTATTGCAATATGAATGTATGATAAAGAAATAATGAATTTATTTCGAATTTTATCCTACAAATGATGTTCAAGATTCAAGAAAAAGAAGTAGCCGTTATCTTTAAATATAACCCAACCCTCATTTGTCTTCTTCACCATTCAGTCATTCACCAATAGTCATTACAAGAACACTTGCCATCTTCAAACCGATGAAACCTATTGTTATCTCTCACAATGATCACTCGTCCCGTACATACGGACATGAACTTGATTGCGGTATGGCAATCACCGCATACACGCAGATTCTTCATCACCCGGATCGGTCTATCAGCCGGAAATGTGATTAGTCCAAAAGCAATAGCTAATCTCTCGCTATGATACCTTATGGTCTGATTCTTCTCATCACCATCCACTTCTCTCAGAACATAGCTCGTGTCTGCAACATAACCCGCTTTCTCCATCTCTTCCCCTAACTCAGCCAGCTTCTCATATATCTCCTTGCTTCTCTCATGTCGTCTTTCTCCAGCTGCAAATGTATGAACTTTGTTCCTTTCTTCAACCCAACTTAGCCCTGTTTCCTTCTTTTCCCCTCGGTCTCGAAGCAATTTTCTGGCTTTAGCTGCGTCTTCGAATCTACCATCAGCTGCATAAGCATTGGATAACGAAATGTGCATACCGGAACTCACTGGTCCTAATTCAAAGACCTTGTCTGCTGCAAATGCTGCAAGCTCTGTGTTCTTGTGGATTGTGCAACTCGTTAATAAAGCTCCCCATACTGATTCCGTGGGATCAATTGGCATATTCGTGATAACTTCAAGTGCTTCTTGTAATTTACCAGCTCGTCCAAGCATATCCACCAAGGAAGCATAATGCTTGTCCGTCGGCTTGATTCTGGATTCTATCATCAGATCAAAGAAGTATCTCCCTTCAACTACTAAACCCGCGTGGCTACAAGCATTGAGCACATTCAAAAAAGTTATGAAATTCGGTTTCATTCCGGAGAGTTTCATCCGCTTGAACAATTCAATAACCTTTTGAGTATGCGAATGTTGCGCACAAGCCTTAAGCATCGCATTCCAAATCCCGAGATTCTTCACAGGCACCTCATCAAAAACTTGATAAGCTCCTTCAAGAACACCACATTTCGAATACAATGAGACTAACGAACTTCCCACGAAGCTAGATGATTCAAAGCTGGACTTAATACACAACCCCTGAATCTGTCTACCTAACTCAAGTAGAGTCGAATTGGCACAAACACTAATAACAGTC